CTCCCTATCTTTGCATAGAGAGTTTGTTTTGATGTAGAGGTGGATTCTCAGGATAGCGTGGGATATCCCCTCCATTTTGGCCTCAACTTGAGAGCTTTTTTTGAGCTTGGGAGTTGATTTCAGAGAAAACCAGTGGCACCATCGTGTTTCTCGCCAACTTTTACAAAATAATCAACAGTCAAATCGCAAATTCCTCACACAAGCAACATCTCCATTCGATTACCTACTCTTAATTTTTCTGGAGAAGATAAATTGAAATTACAACCACCCAAACCCCCCCCCCCCCCCCCTGAGTTCCGTGACACAGAATCGCGAGTATTACGGGGACCAAGTTAACAGAGACGCACCAGTGTCGTGGCGTGCTTTGCGGTATATCGATTGATCTGTCACTCAAACCTAAGGAAAAGAATCGATTGACAGGGTGTCCGCAACGAACATCCTAATAATCGATTCTTTACCATAGCGTCAAGTGGGGAAACATCGATAGTCGGTCATTCACGCCTCTCCACTGAAACGCACCAAGACGCATATTGGAAAAAACGAAGTGGGAGTAGTACTGAATTCAATCAGTCGTGCATATCCGCCTGTCGAAAATTCAAAGTCGAGAAAAAAATATTTTGACCCTGAAAACAGCCGATAGGTGAACTGTGTCCTTAGATCCTTGACATTCAGTTTCAGAGTGGAATAAAACTTCAAACCTATTTTTCTCGGTTCGAACTTACTTAATGCGGCTTGGCGCGTTTTTGGTGAACTCCGTCTACTCATGATTTCCTACATACTTCAGACCACAAATTAATTTCCTCGAACGACAGGTTCGCGCAATTTCAAAATCTTATGTTGGGTCCGATTATGCCCTACGAAGCGAGTTGAATATTTCCGAATTTCGGATGGTAACCACGAATACTCAATGTGCGTTTATTTTTTACCTTGGCCAGGGGTTCATCGGAAAATTAGTGATTAGCTAGTTGCGCGACGTGCAGTTTCATTCCGCGTAAAACCGCAAACAACGACGAATAACCGCGAGTATCGACAAAATCTACGGCGCATTTCCGCGAATCTCTTTACAAGGTTCTACTTAAAAGCTGATTGGTTGAGTAGCACGCCAGTTTTGGACCAATCAGAGGTTCCAAACTTACAGGACCCACTTCATGGGTACAAAAGGGAGCACTTTCAGTCTCTTCGTCGGAGGAAAGAGCGTGCAAGAGAAAAGAAAAAGAGAGGAAAACAGAGGAGGGAAAAGAAAATTACAAGAGAAGATGCGAAAGAGAGAAGGGTGTCCTTTATGGATGTAGATGTTTTATTAAAATAGTGTATTTCCTTCGGAAAAAACACTAAACATTTGGTTGAAGAGGGATAAAAAATTTTAAGATAAAAATTTGAAAATTCATCATAAGGATCACGATCAAATTGGTAGATTCAAGAAAGTAGGGAATGAAAGGATAAATGCGAACCTGAGAGGGAACGAAAAACAGTTTTCACATGTATGTGCTAAAACGGTGCCTAACTTTAGCACTGAAACTGTGCGGACCAAAGAACAGTGCTGAATTATTAGTTCCGTATCAACGCAAATCGTAAAAGAGCTTCTTAATAAACTAACACACGAGGTTTTTAAACTCAACTCTGCTACATAACCCCAGCTGAATAAACAGAGGCAGAATGTGGTTAATGAAAAGCTAGAGAGAGAGAGGAGCATGGGGGAAGCTTTGCCGGTTGCAGTATCTTGTACCACTGCAAGTATCATGAAAAATCAACTAAAAATAATGCATCGAAGCTATCAACATTTTGATACACCAGGGGAACGATGACAGATAAGAATGTTAGGTCATTGGGAATAAGTATGAAGGAAAAGAAGGAGCCAAAAGGGCCGAGCACCAGTGAGTCAGGCAGGAGTAATCGATCCCAAGGAACTCGAATTTGGAGGTCCCTTCGTCCACGGAGGCTTTCCTGGTGGGGCACAGGGGAGACCCTGAAACCTGTAAATTTGATGCTCCATCAAAGCCCCGTATGTCCCATCAAAGAAGCCTCTGGGAACGACGGGACCCTCAAATTTAAACCTCAAATTCGGATTTTTTTTTTTTTTTTGATGATGAGGGGGAAAAATTCGCTGAAGTGCCCCCATCATGAGGGTCGCCAAAACGCCCCCCCCCCCATGAAAGGGGCCCACCGATTAATCCGGATTTGTCCGTGACCCACGAAAAGCATCTTTTTACTAATCCTCAAAGTATGTCCATTTAGCGAACTTGCATTTTTTGAAGGCGACCTCTATCCCCCACCTTTGGGGTCAATATTTTGGACACAGATGGGCCAATTTAGGATTTCTTGGTGGCTAAAGAGGTCAAATTCTCCGTACTACCTAATTCCGATGAAATAATTTCAAAATGGCGTGAACCCTGACTGTTGAAGTACGAACGCCGCTTTTACACCCCCGGGGGAGGGGGGGGCCTCCGCGACCAAAAACTTCGCATTCCTTGGGATCGATTCCCTATTCATCCCCGCGGCCCTGGACTTCGTTCGACCAAAAAAAACGGTCAACAGGCCGAGCGCGGTAGGTTACGACCACCGTGAATATATTACAAAATATATCATTTTTGTAAAATAATTCTGTAGAGGGGATCGGTTAAATGTCAAATTTTGACTTCAATTAAGTTTCTGCCAAAGTTTAGGTATTTAAGTGATTTTTAGTACAAAATTGCCTGGAAATAAAATCGAGTGTCTCCTAATGGATCTCGAAAACTTATTTTCAGTTTCTGTTGATTGGTCGCACACCCTGAGTATTATTTAGGGATTCTCCACAAATAAAAAATAAGGGAAAAAATTGGTGACCCCTTAGTGAGACAGAAAATCATCCTCCAGGATTTCTCATGGGTTGATTAGAGCTCTGAATGTAGTTTGAGGTATGTACTTCTTCTTAAAAATGAATGGGCCTTGAAACTAATTCCTTGGTGGCCTTAACAGGTAAAAAAGAGAGGCAAAAAACTTTTAAGTTTCAAAACGGAAAATCCTTCAGAAAGACCGATAAAACATACAATTTTGAAGCCCTCTGACGAGTGCCATTAATTTCCATGCTGCAATTTCACCATTTCTTTTTACTTCGCTTACGTAAATTTTGGCCAAAAGTTTGACAGCAAATATCAGTTGTTGTGTGTGCCTGTGTGGTGTAATTTGCTAATTACTCTGCGTATAACATTAAAAAAAAAAAAAAAAATTTAGTATTGAAAAAAATGTTATACAAACTTTTAACTACTTGAATTCCACATCAAAGATAAAAAGGCTTTTCTACTTATGATATGAAATACATTTGAACAGCATTACTTACATTTTTTCTTTAAGTTGAAATTTGATGGTTGATGCGATTAGGGGTTCTAAAGTCTGGAGGAGAGTTTCTTTGAGGGTAAGTAGATACATGTAGCATTCAATATCTACTTTTCTAGGGTCAAAGGGAATGTTAAGTAGGAAAATAAAGCAGGCAAAATTGTATTCCCGGGTCCTCCATTTCTTCGGTTGACATTCCCAAGCTATCAATACCAGCAGGTATATTCTTGTTCTTTGTTTTTGATGAAGAAAAATCAGGACATGCTGGTTTTGCTGGTTAAGATCTTAACCGAATTAACGTCCAAAATTACTTCAAAATCCAAAGAGTACCTAGCTAATACCTACTCCAGTAAAATCAGAAATATTTAATGTTCAGTTGTCTACCTTGTTCAAAATTCTGTGCTGTTGTTGATACCTACGTACTTACTCAAGAATCTTTACCAACATTTACAGCAAGAATGTCTTTACCCATAAAATTTCATCAACTTCTGTGTTTCAAATTTGAGATATTCTTAGCGCCAGCTCTGTCACCTCTGATTATAATTAATTTCTACTTATCAAAATTTTCATTTGCTTTCTTCAGAGAATTCTCCTGAAAGCTTATGCTGAGGTTAAAAGTTAACAAGTACTCGGATTATCTATTGAAGGTCCCAATCTCTCAACCAGGAGTCGTAAAGTTGGCTCAATTAAAAATCCTCAGACTCTAATCTAGAATGTCTCCAGCTTAGGTGGTCTATTATGTCAAAAAAATTCTAAATTTCATAACCTGATAAATATCATAAATAGAATTCTGCTCTGACTGACCAAGCAATAGAATCCTATAATTTTAAAAATCCTGGGTTAAGCTGTAATTACGAAGAGCATTATCATTGAGTTCAAGGTTGATATATAAAACATAATTATTGCTTGGATATTTGTTTATGTTAATGTGACGTAAACATTACTCTCTACTGTAAGTCAATGTGGTGGTACAGAAAGTAGCTGAAAAAAAGTAGCAAAGCGCGAAAGGTACAAATAGCTAATGCTACTGAAGAAGCGCAACATGTTCTGCTTTTGCAGGTTGTAAACAAAATTAATGAAATGAACAAAAGCCCGATGAATAAATGAGTGCTCAAAGGAAGGTGAAAACTTCCTGCTACCTGGTGAAAAATGCTGACACGTAAGTAAATGATGCCATTTTACAAAAAACCAAACCACATTGATTCCTACAGAAAGTAATCCATCCCCTTGGAACCAGTTGCATGAGTTTTCGGAGAGGGCGAATGTCGGAGAGTGTTGCCAAATTGAATACAACAGGTAGGTGCTTCAGAGAAAGACAAATCAAGTGCTAATGGGCATGCATGGAGCAAGCAGTTGGAGGAAATATTGGGTAGAGGATGAGGACAATGAGGTGTAACAATGGGTTGAACGCATTTGGCAGGAGATTTGGTTTGCTGTAGACTGGTTGTATGTCTTGAGTAATACATTGAGCAGGAAAGAAAGGAATTTAAAACATCGATTCTGGGGTTCAAACTATTTCGTGTATACACCTCAATAATAAACTTTACAATATTGCTCGAGAGTGAAGTTTCACGTTGTTTATATAGCTGCCTGATAACGAAGTGATAAGAAATGAATGATAACATACTGCCATTTAGTACTGTCAAGACATGATAAGAGAGAAAAAGCAGGGTTTCGTCGTTCCTTACCTTTGTCACTTGGAAGTTCTCAGAGCGTAGGGTTTCTACGATTTCTTGGTCACTACGAGGCTGCTGGCTCACGGATGATCGGAGAAAACTTTTGAACGTAAACTTCTTCATTTTCGGAAAATGAAGATTTCAAAACATCACATTCACTGCGTGCCAGAGATAACGTGTGTACGCTTGCCCCGTCACCAACACGACACGAGCTCAGGTCTCAAGTAAACATATCCCAGAACGGTTACGCGTGTTGAGGATCATGAGCGGAAATTACGGGTAAAACACAACAGGTATCTGGAAAACTCCTTTCTGCGGTTGTCGCGGAGCGAGATTCCAAAAAATGGAAGAAATCGGCCGGAATGTTCGAATGAAGAAGCGATAGCGTTCGAATGTAAGTAACGAAACTTTGAGAAAAATTAAGAGTGTTAAAATGTCTTAAAAAGGGTCACACAAAGCGACACTGATAAGAAATTCACACGTAAACAACAAAGTCTTGCACCCACATAATTTCCAGGAGCTGTAAGGAGGCCACCAGACAACTATCAATTTCCCTCGCAAGATCGCGTTACCATCGAGGTGAATTTGACGTCTGATTGGATAAGCACCGAGCGCCCGGAAAGACTGGCGCGCAATTCGAATTTAGGGTGTGAGTGGATTCTTGCGTATTTTCCGCAGCTTTCGTTTCTCNGGGGGGGGGGGGGGTGTGTGTCAGGTGACCGATTGAAATCTTAAAACTTTACCGTGATCTTTAAATGTGCCTTAAATATACGGCTAGAAGCGTGAGGTTGGGCAAGAGGACCCGTTTTTTTTCTATTTCACTGTTTGCCAGATTCAAGTGCGTATCTCCTCAGATTTCAAAAGAATGAAGTGTTCCAGGGAAGAGAGTAAGTCTTTCTGGCGATGAGCGCAGTTACATTCTGCTAATATCAATCCTTCAATTTTTCCTCCTTATTCTGGAGCAATAATCATTCAAACTATTTGCCACAAGAAAAACCACCTTCAGTGTTAAGCGACAAAGACGAACTTATGTCATGCTTTGATACAATTTCAAGTGCACTTCTCGCGATGTGATTTACAGGTACAGCTCCAGGCGTTTTTACGCTACATTCTCGATATTCTGGAATTGAAATCATTCGAAGTACAAAATTTTAACGTTGAATTCTAGTAATTTTATGAGAGTTGCAACTTTTTACTCATTTTTTTGTTGGTATCAGAGTTTTTGAAAAGAATATCAGCTGAGTGTGATAATTTTATTTACTTTAATAGATAAATAAAAAAAAATGGCGACATCTCCCTCTGTTCTTAAAAGAGTTTTTCGGAAGCTCAAAACATTTTTTTATTTTCAGAACATACTTATGAAGAAGAGAAGAAAAAGTAAAGAGATAAAAACCTCCCAATGGAAATAAGTTCAAACGAACTACAATTACCCCTTATCGGATTTACTAAATGCTGTATGTGTAGGATTTTAAAGAAACAAGCATGTTTTAAAAGATGAAATGAGGAGAACAAAATCGATTTTTTACGGCCTTTTTACGGCATGTACCTACTGCAAAATTTAATCGTAAAACAACGGAGTAACAGTTTATGGGTGGGGCCTTCCAACCCGTCACGGATCATGCTAAAATAAGGGTAAATACCGAAGTGGTGGGGCAACGTGCAAAGGGACTTCGGAGAGGGAGGGGTCACCGATTTTTTTTCTCACTCACGGCACGTAATCAACTAGTAAAATCGTTGAATGAAAAAGAAGAAAAATAGGAAATAAAACTTACTATCAGCTCTACAGTCTGACTGACAATGAATGTATTTTTCTTCACTTTAAGAAAAAACGATAAAGACATCACAGAGGGGACAGCCTGAAAGAGGGTTTATTTGTCTCTTCATCACAATGGGAAATGTTTCGGAGACATCGAAATACACGTCTCATAATTCCTTTTCAAGAGACTGACTGGCTAATGAGCAATTAACTCCTCGTTTAATAATTTAATCACATATTTCCGAGATTTTCTTTAACCCGCCTTCAATATAAGGAGCGGCAATTGTCGTTGCAGATGAGTAGTTTACGGCGGACCGGCTCTTTGCGACTGTGACGTCATGAATTCGCTTCAGATTCAGATTCACTTTGTTTACATGACTTTTATAGGTTAGTTGTACTCTATGGACTGCGCCGACTGTTTTCAAAAATAAATCTTACAGGCTTCGCTCATCAGTTGAAGAGTATTTTAATATTGGTCGTGGAAATTTTATTATGCTGTGAGAAAGATGTTTTATCACGTAAGTCTCTCTCCTATTCTTTTATCTAACTTCCGAAAGTCGCTGTACAAATGTTCAGCAGCAATGGTTTTGATTCAGGATTTTATGAACCGCAAAACTTGAATACAGATCCCTTTTTTATAACTGTAATCTCGTCAATTATAGTTCCATAAAATAGCTACCACCAGAGCTAATAATTACGTCCCAAAGCCAAGGTACACACACCATGGTGGTTGCATTTTTATTTGAACCACCTCCGTAGAGAATTAGGACAGGGAGAGAGTACGACTACGAGCTTTGCTTTGCTATTTAAGTGTACCCGCAATATACCTTACACTATGTTAAGTCAAAAAGTGTGTGAGTCAAGATCACATATTTATATCCTCCTTTTTCAAGAGCAATAATAGGACGAAAAATTTTCGTTTAAAAGGAGTCAGCTCTATCAATTCCTCTCAAGAGCTGCGTTCTCGAAGTAAACTGTTTTGAAAAGGCATTACCTGATTCCAAACAATCGGCGTTGCTGGACTCTGTTAGAATTACCTGACGGCTTGTTTGTTTGTGTACTAAAGCCTAACGTTTCTGCCAAACTCTCAACGCTCGCAGGAATGCTGCGTTGCGGAAGTAAACTGTTGGGGACCGTTGGGCAACGGAATTACCCGATTCCAAACGCTCGGCGTTGTTTGACTTCCGTTGGGATTGCCCAATGTCCTGGACTGTTTACCAAACGGAAGTCAACAAGTCATCGGTCTCAGGAGGTAGTTAAGAGTGTTGAGCCAACCTCTTAATGATATTGTGCACGCGGTGTCACATTCAAAACACAACAGTTTTTAGTCAACAGAGACGACCTACAAAGCGTTTCCCAATGGGTAAGTCAACGGTCACATAATATCTGTTAGCGTTGAGCAGCCCATCGCAAATGGAAAGTTTACTTCGACAAAGTACCTTTCGTCGATGGATCTGTTGGGTTGCCCTTGGAAACAGAAGAACCAAATGGAATCAAATGAGTTTACTTTGACAACGCACCCAAGATTTATTCTCTGATTCAAATCTAACAGCTCCTACACTACTTTCTGTTTGGATAATGAACTAGAGTTAGACGATTTGTTCTGAAAAATTGAAGGATGCGTCCCATGTTGACTTGCTATTAAATGATTGAATTTTTTAGGTAGTTTTGTAATTTTATCGGTTACTAGTATGTAGTTTTAGCATCAAATTGATTTTAATTTTTTTTTTTCAATTCCGGCTGCAGATTAGTTTAGAGCATGAAATATTGCTTCATCCTCGTTACTTTGGACCGCAACTCTTCGACACAGTAAAAGCGAAATTATACTCTGAAGTTGAAGGTACTTGTACTGGAAAGTAAGTAACTTGAGTTCATTTTTAATACCTCATTTTTCGGTACCTTAATAAGGGGGTCCCAAAAATTTATGAGGAAGCACCGTTTATTCAAAGATTTAAGAACGGCAAAAACATTTCGCCAGAAATATTTGTATCAAGCTTACAGCAAAATTATCAAGGACCGGTCGATAAGCATTTTGGTTGGAGCCATTAATTATGGAGGTAGAGAACTTACTAAAAGAAAGTAACCGATTAAGCAGCCACAAGGGACTGTGATTGAAATTATGTATCGCAAATAAAAAGTACATGGCAACAAAATATAAAGGTTGCCTGCTGGGCAAAAAAATCTGGGAAGGCAGAGATTACTCAGAGATACATTTTTACCCGAAGTAGCTGAAAAATGTGGCATTTTTACTGAAAAGACTGCAATTTTTTGCTTTCTTTCAATTTTCGTTATCTAATGACGCTTCACGACTGTCAAAATTCAGATTTGGAAAAATGAAAACTCAATGGTCAATTTTATAAAATCAGTGTTAAAAACTGCTCATTTTTAGTGTGATCATTGATGGAATAAGACATGGATATTTTATCACCATTATCATGAAAAACCAGGAAAATTCAGGGAATCCTTTTTGTGAAGTCAATTGATACCTTGATTTATCTTGTATGTTTAATATGTTTCATTCAGAATTCAGGTGAAATAATATTGACACCTCCATCTGTTTTGGTCAATTTACCTATCATTTGTCTGGAAAAGAGTGCCAAAGAATCCAATTTGTAAAAAAAATCTGCCCTTTAGTATAGTATGAATGAACAGTAATGTTGCAAGTTTTGACTTGCGGAAATCCAAAATAGGCGTTATTGTTTCTTAAGTTTCAGTCATAATAGTCATAGGTATTTCATGCTTGTGTGATGTGTTTCAGGTATGGTTTTGTTATAGCTGTCACAACTATAGACAATATTGGCGCCGGGCTTATTCAGCCGGGTCAAGGATTTGTTGTTTACCCTGTTAAGTACAAAGCAATTGTTTTTCGACCTTTCAAAGGAGAAGTACTAGATGGTGTTGTTACCCAAGTAAATAAGGTAAAAAACCTAAAGTGTTGTATTCAAAGTGCCTTTGAAATAAGGTACTCAGTGACTTTTGTGAAAAAAGAGACCTTAGTTCCTGAAAGCTCACTTTTTAGCATAGCGATTTCTGCAAGTTAGGTAGAAAAATTGGTATTTTTTTTGTGATAATAAATACTCTCTGGTGTCCCGAAGAACACATTGCAAATCTGCTAAGCCGCAATCCAAATACATAAATGGTTCTATGGTACCTTTAACGTACCAATGGTTAAATGTGAAAAATGTGCATTTTAATTGCAACTTTCATTAATCTTTAATAATTTTCCCCCTTTCTTTCTTTCTCTCAATTCATAATATTTCCTTGCATTTTCAAGCACTTTGTTAAGATGAGTTTAGAAAAATTCATACTCAGTAAATTTAAATAGAAACCGGTAGTAATTTTTACTATAAGAGAATAAAACGTAAGCGGAGACTTACATATGGTGATGAGCCTCAAGAATGCTACTTTTTCAATGACTTTACTCTGTCATCTCTCATCTGGTATTTTCACAACCTTTCAGGTTGGCATGTTCGTGGAGATTGGTCCTTTGTCATGTTTCATCTCACATCATGTAAGTTGTCTCTGAGTAATTATATTTAACAGTGGTCCTGGAAAATTCAATTTTTTTCTCATTCTTTTATGAAGTTGAATTCATATCACCTTCATTATAAATATAAAACTAGTGAAATAAAAGCTTGATAAAGTACCTCTCATTCAGGTGAAAGCGCCTTAATACAAAACAGAATGGAAAAGTTATTCAACTTGTTAATATTTTTCATGTAAAGCAGGATTGGTGTTGCAAGGGTTGCTACTGAGTAAAAGATCAAAAGTCCCAGAATGATTTGCTGAACGGTTCGTAGTCAAAGTTCAGTGTACTACACCTTGGACCTTTGACAATGTGGATTGTAGTTGAATCAGGTAAACATCTCTCCCCTTTAGTGGTAAAGACGAGCCAAAGGGGTTGTGCGAGTAATAGCTACTGCTTTAGGAATATCCAGGCAACTTAAGAGCCAGGGCCGAAAACCAGAAAAAATTCTGGAACGTTTAATTCTTTGCCAGGTATCTGATTTTTTTAATACTTCAGTGGGTGTTTGTAACTGTTGTGCAACTTGTTTTTGTGATTAACTTTTTTTATGTTCCAACTTTGTCCCATATTGCATTCTTGAATGTTTATTAATATTATTATTTATCTTTTTAATTCCAGTCCATTCCAGCAGATATGGAATTTTGCCCTAGCTTTAACCCTCCATGCTACAAATCTAAAAGTGAGGTAAGATTAACACTTTTTTTTTTTAGTTTGTTATTCATACTAAGGACACATCAAGATTGAAACTCTATCTGATCACTCAATTTGGTCTAATTCATTGTGCTGGCTCAGCATATCTGAGAGAGTAGATTGTGCCATAAGACTTAACATGCTCCAGTTCTGTCGCAAGAACTTATAGCACCAATAACTTCCTTTTCAAAATAGGTCATTTTTAGGTAGTGAAAATTAGTGAATAAGCATATTTATGGTGAAACTACCAAACCATGTATCTTTGATGTTGCAGACTTCCTATCATACTTTATTTTTTAAGTAGAGAACTGTTACTCAATGTCAATTCTTTAAAACTTCTGTGATTTTTTTTTCTCAAAGCAAAGTAAATTCTGAAAAAACTTTACGGAATAATCTTGATTTGTTCTTCTTCAAAAATATAAAATGAGAGCCAAGATTACTAAACACTGCAAACAAGTCTTGTAATTTGGGGGTTTCTCGGTCGATATTCAAAACAGGACAACATTTCTGTGTATCTTTATACATATGTCATGTCATGTTTGGAATAGATTGGAAAATTAAAATCTTAGCTTTTAAGGCAACCATAATAAAAAAAGGTATCTGAGGGTGTCACTTTCAAAGGAGGGAGGATTCTCATACTTCATTGAAAGGTTTGCTCGGCAATACTTTTTGCTACTTAAGAGCTAATTTTTCTCGTTAAAAATGCAGATTTCAAACTCTTTTGATGTTGGAATATGCAACAGAAGCCAGCCTTTCAGTATCAATTTTTTTAAAGCAATTTTATATCACAATTGCAAACCATGGAATGTACAATGAACATTCTTTACCATAGATCTGCAAGGTTTTACTCAAATTATATTCATATGAAACACGGATACCTTAAAAGTTATAACTTATAATTGAAGATAAGTCTTTGCTTCTATTGAAACTTTTTTGTCTGAAAATTAATCTGTAATCATTCTAGCTTATCATTTCTTGTTGTTTCCAGGATGTTGTTATACAAACTGACGACGAAATCCGGCTGAAAATTGTTGGAACAAGAGTCGACGCTTCCGGAATTGTAAGTTTAACCATTTTTATTCCTTCAAATCCAACTTAATGATTAAGGCTCTATGGTACTGTTTTAGGAATGACTTGCAACCTTTTAAATCGGATGTACATTGCCTTCAAGAAAAGAAGTCAGGACTTCTTAATAATATATTTTCTAAATTTCATGGATGTAAACTGATGTAAGGAATGAAAAGTTGAAGAAATCCTTGTCTCGTTTGAAAGATCGAATAACTTAGCGAATCAGCGACCCAGAACCTGGAAGATTAAATCTTTGTTTCCTGGTATTGACTCCTATTTGGTAGTCATTCTGTGATGCCCTCATATTGCCGATGTTTTTAACCCACTCAATTTTGTTTTTCAGTTTGCCATTGGAACATTGATGGACGATTACTTGGGTAAGTTCTCACCTTTTTTTATAGCAATTAAAATTGCTGGCCAACATTTTGTCACTCTCTTGTGCCTTTTTTTGTCACGTTTGTCTGTCTAATACATTACATCATTCGTTTGTTATGCTACAAATGAAACAAATGTCTGGGACTAAAGCAGGGACTATTAGCGTTCCATAAATATATCCCACTCACCGAGGCCTGCAGGCCGACTATTGAAATTTTGTGTATTTCGGACTGACACAGACAATATAGGTCTAATAGTGGAGTGCGATTGGTTGGCTATGTCTTATCGCTGCCCTGTCGTCCCTTTCTCAGGTGGAATGGATGACAAACTGTCGAAAACTCAAGAGATGCCTCTAGCTTGGCGTGAATTCCACCTGACGAAGGCTTGACAAAGCAGCGACAAGACATAGCCGACCTATCATGCTTCGCTATTTAACCTATGTCACTTATTTCCGCCCGACAAACACAAAATTTCAATAATCGGCCTGCCGGTCCAGACAGTTGAAAAATTTATTGATTCGTTGAACCAGATTCAAGGCAGTGAATTGACACCCGTGATCGTTGACATCATGCTCAGGGCCTATTTTTTGGTTTCACTGCCCGAGCACGACATCAACAATCGTTGACTTCATGATCAGATTTTGTTTAACTAACTGCTATGATTGATTGTCGGATCCCAGTCACAAGCTAGATCTTTTCTCGAAATTTTTGTGGGTAAATTAATTAGCAATACCTTGCTTTTTCTCTTTGACCTTGCTCTGATTCACATCTTTCAGTTATTAGCCCACAAGATTGTAGTGATATCTCAGCATTAGTCACAACAAAGCCATTCAAATAGCTTGTTGTGCCCCAAGCTTTGTTTTCTCTCTTGTAACAGTAAAGTGTAATGCTGGGTGCAGAAAGGGCACTATTCATTGTGATGTTTCAGGATCTCTGCTCATGTTTATCTAATATGATCGAAGCAAATACTCGTATGTAGTGTGTTGCCATCTTTACCAAATATTCCTCTTATTTTACAATGCTTTCAACAAAAAATTGCAGAAAATTCGCAGAATACTTTCTTCTCTAAAATATAAATCGGTAGTTGAGATTTTACAACACCGTAACAAAGGGTCCCCCTCTCTGCTTCTGAAGCCTTCATTATGCTGCATGTGGAAAAAATTACTTTCCTTGTTTTTATTTAATATTTTTTTCTTTTTCACATATTTACTAAAAACATTATGGTAATGCATCATTAAAAATATAGATATTTGCATGAAAATTAAATCTATTCTCTCTTTCTCATTTTCAGGCTTGGTCTGTAACTAAAAATACACTGATACACATTGAAGCTGCTATGTGGACATACTGTGATAACGGTCCAAGATGGCGAATCCCTCTCAGACTCGCTAATCTTGCCCCGCTACTCACTCAAAGACTCCGGAGTTTCTCCTCTGGATTGCCCTCATATCCAGTTTAAGCAGTACAAGGCGTGATTCATCAATGATGTCCTAACAACAAAAAGATCTCATTTCAATTTGTTTTTTATCGCTAATTTTTTTATCTAGAAAGAAGGCCTCAAGAAATTCCGAGTGTTGGGGTTAATATAGATTCGTGGTCACAAGGTTAGAAGCTCTGTATCACTTCTGATCTGGATAATGTGTAATCCAATATTAATTCTGATTATTTTGAGCATAACTATTACGAAAGGAATATGCTATTGCCATAACGCCAATGTACATATCAGTCTCAGCAGAGAGACCCCTGCTGCCACACCCACACATCCCAAGCATGATAACTAACTATGGGGATCAGATTTTATGATTAATACTGAAAGTAGCTTTTGGCCGTGATCATCATGTTGATTGTAAAGTTTATGTAATTTTATTCTTCACTTAATTTATAATTTTTTACTATCAATTATACGATGACGAAAATCTAAGAATTTGGAGTTTATTTCTCTTTATCATATAATATGGTGACATTCTGGTCCAGGAGGTACTTCTAGAAGCCGGGTAGCAAGGATAGGTAACCTGCTTTCATCGTTGATGTAAAATGTTCATGTTAAATTTTTCAGTAATACGCGATTGCTTACTGTGTTACTAACATCTTATTGTTTAGTCGCTCAGATTCGTGTAGAGGGAAGCTTTTCTTGAATGACAAAAAAACTACCAAATAATTTTACCAATAAATGAAATAGAAGATAAGTTTTTAAACAATCAAATCAGAAGCATGATTTAACTATAACCTGTTTCTCGATGTTCATGACCTAATGAACTTGGAGAGGAGAGTAAAATAAATACATCAGAGTAATATACTTGGGTTTCGCTCCTTGATCATACTTTATTGGTGTATTGCTGTACAATCCAGAAAAAACTCAGAGTCAAAATCTGAAGCAATTTTGAAATGGACATTGTCAAGATCGTATCCATCGATTAATCCAAATGAGCAGTCCCAGATTGTTTAGACATTGCATCTTTAACTCGGGAAGTCTGAGAGGTAAGTGTAAGATAAAAGTAAGGTTAGGAGGAAAGATGGGTGATATCCAATTATATAAACCATTTCTAGATTTATTACCTTCAACAGTGAGCTAGGGGTCACATGCCCTGATTTTGTGAGGACTGACTCGGTAAAATGAAAAAATTGGGACACATAAGATTTGTTCAAGTTGTGAATACTTTCCATACGGTAATCTCTAATTTAACACTTCTGTGTCTATCTTGAAAGAGCGGTTTTACTTCTGGAGGGTACAGAAAGGCTTTAAATATCAGCTCTAGACTTGCTGGCTTAATTTATTTACAACTAAAAATGCAAACTTCTCTCCAAATTACTCTTTCCTGAATTAGTGTCAAGAATAGCAGCAGGAACAGAGTTTTTTTCTGCAGAATAATCAAACGAAAAATTCATGAGGAAAAACAGTAATGAAAAAAAAGGTTTTGAACTAAACCTGAGTTTTCATAATTTATTCATTTTTCAAATTCCATGACCTTTGAACAGACTTGCCACTCAAATTTTTTTCCCTTCGAGTTGTCATGGTGACGGTGGTTCCCGAACTTTTCCCAGTTGCTGTAAATTCCTTGATTTGCCCAGGTTTTCAAGACTGCTAGAGACCCTGCAAATATTTAATGGCATTCTGGAGGAAAGAAAACAAAAAACTAGAAGGTTCTGTAGGAAAAATTTTTAATAGAAACAAACATTCAGTTTCCCTGCTTATCGAATATGCACATTACAGTGAAAAAATCATTGGCTAATGCAAGAATGTCAAAGGCAATGAATCACTTATCACTGCAAAAAATAATTCTAAAGAGGTTGAGGCAACATGAAATTTCAAAATGTATAAATAAATCAATGTGAGCTCAAGAAATGAGCTACACATTCATGGTATGATCCTTTCTGAGGAACTAATAGGTGGGGAATGCGCAAGTTGAGAGTTTGATATGACTTGAGTGCTAAATGCTTTCACAAACGAAAAGGGAGGGGGGGAAGTAAAAAATTGAAAGTTTAATGACTTAATTATGTTATGACATAGTGTTTAAACCAAAAGAAAAGGAATTTTGATCTGATCTGAAAAGAAATTAAAGGTAAGCTTACAAAAATAATGGAGAGAAGCTTGTGCAGGAAGACACAAAGAAGATGGGACTTCATACCCCTCTCCCTTATACTTCTTTTTGAGACAGAATGGTTCCTGAAGTTCTTTTTAAACTTGTCGACAGAACTTATGAACTGCATTAAAGTTTTAAAAAAACCACAGGTTCGGTAGCTTTTCAGGGTGATAAAAATGAGCAAAAATTTTACAAGTCTATCTTGCAGATTGTCCACTATCAGAGGGTACCAACACCTGTACTGGAGAAAGTACAGGATTTTAATACTAGTATGTCAAAATAGTTACTTGAGTTTGTACACAGAAAATGCGTGAGTCTTGAGAGTCGAGAATTAGAGATGAAAATTATTCTGTCATATTAAACTTTCCAGGTTATTGGACATAAACTCCCTGTAAATAATTTCAGTATAATTTTAGGCAACTCGCACAATCCTGGTTGGGATTACTCATCCATGGGCACAACCTCGTGAGAGAAGTGAGGCTGAGTTTATTCTTAAAACTGGTCATAAATTAAAATTATTTTGAACATAATTTCTATTGTCGAATGGGTCAGTTGCGCTATTCACAGAATCGTATTATAATGATGGAGGCTTACAAATTAGCAAAAAATGAGAGGTAAAATCTATCAAAACATGAAGGTTTTAGATTAAAAATTAACAACTATATTGCCGATGAGAAAAGCCGTTCGGTGGAACATAATGGTGTTTTTTTCCTTATCAGTTTCATCTGTCTGAGTTAAATGGAATTTGCGTGTAAGAAATGTAAAAGAACTTTGATATGCATCGCAAGGAATGATGTTAGCTTAAAAGTCAACGTCTTCGTTCAAAAATACATAAGAGCTCAGTATCTTGACAGATTTTATCCATTTTTGCTGATCTGTAAGATTCAATCTTCAAAGCCAATTCAGAGTCGCGCTGAAATTGGCTTATTTCTCTACAATGAACTTAAAAGACACCGAGCAATAATGATACAGGCTATGAATTCTTAATTTTGTTCTTAAATAACTTTGAGTGCCAAGGCATCAGCTAACCTAGGGTTTAGAATCAGTTTTACGACACAAACTTTGATGACCAGTTTATGAGGGATATTGTCAGAATGCCATATTGGATTCGTAAAAATTCAATGTTCAGTCACAATAAATCTATAACTTTTAGTCAAGTTTTGCGAGGGTGTCTTTTCTCTATTGTAATCTCATACACACTTGAAAATCGCCATTCCTTTGATAGCACCATCTCTTGAATTGAAATTTGCTTTACTAGTAATTCCCAAAAAAATAAAAATAGCTGCATCTCATTTCAATAGAAAATTGAGGAAAGAGTTAGAAAGTTGCGGTCGTTACATGACTTTTAAATTATTCATCCTTTAAATTTTTTTTGTGCGAATGAAATCACCAGGATAAGCAGTCACAGAGAGAAAAACGAAAGATAAAACTCCCCTATCTCAATCATAGTTCTACTGAGTTGTTTATATGTAATGGGTTCATCACTAGAGCTAATTTCTGCAGATGTCAAAAAAATTGGTGGAATTGCTAGAGGAAAGTCACAAAAAATGATGAATGTTCTTACAAGGCAGAAATTACTGAGCATCGAAATTCTATCAGAATACACAGCGGACACAGATCAGTTGCGAGCGGAAGAATGTACATCTTTACTTCACAAAAAACATAATTTTAAAAAGAACCCTTGCAAATTAAAGAACTAATTTGAGTTGAATGGTCTGCACAATACTGCTATTTCTTGGGGCTTGATTAAATTGTATAGATTCAAAAAAGATTTTTGAAAAAACTTCTCGGAACTACATAGAAAATATAAGACCATGCAGCAAGAAACTTGCATCTGGAACCAAGCGAGGACTAACTCTTCCAAATAGCACAGTTAGCTTGTTATTGTTCACAAGAGTTTTATTAACTCTGATCTTTCCTTTCAAAAGTATGTTCATTACAACAATGAAAAAAATCACGTCCCTTTGATGGCGTCTGTTAGTCCAGGCCCTCCTTCATTCTTTTTTTCCCCCTTTATAAAACAATATTTTAAGACCATTATTTTTATCACAATTTTTTTGAGTACGGCATTTCTTGATTCTGGTAAAAATTGTACAAAATTAAACTGAGTGGTCAAAAAAACTAGTCTCAACGAAAGGAAAATGCACATAAAGAGAAGGCGCTAACCCACAGTGATGAATACTGGGACAACCTCACAACTCAAAGGCAGTGGCTGCCTAGTCCCACTTCTCAGCAAAACTTTCAAAGCTTGCAGTATCTTCATCTTAACGGACAACTTTTTGGCTCATTAAAAGTAGACGTCAATGGGATTCACGAATCAAATTCATTAAATATTAAATGTCTACACACATCTGACCTTCGCAATTGGCTACAATTTGTTAAGGTGATGGGCCTTTCATTATTTCATCATTATTCTCTCATCAATTTTTGAATCATTTATCTCTCTGCCTTTGTACTTCGCTGTCATGGTAATGCTGAGGTTGAGGTCACAAAGTGACAATTCATTGACACCCAAAAAAAAAACTAGGCAGCACAATTAGATGTAAAGAGCCAAGCACAGTAAGAGTACCAGTCGAGTGCTCGATAACAGAGTGTACATCTTTCTTTCCTCCACAAACCTGGACTGCACAAATTAGAAAATTAAATACTTTCATAGAAACGTAAGATCAAAAATTTGGAAAACTCCAGAAATAATAGATAAAAAAACTTAAACGTAAGTTTCGGCAGAAAACGGGTTTCTCAATGATGGTCTCCAAAGCTCAAGGTCTAAGCCTGAAGTATGAGTCACGTAATTTCATCTAACAAGAATAACAATAATATATACACCTATGCTACTGTACAAGCCTTGATAGAGTTACGGATGGGTGGTGGATTTAGGCAGCAAAGTTGTTGGGTGGGTTCCGACCCCGCCCACTGGAGGAGCCCCGGCTGGCACGGTTCGAATATGAGCCTCGATCGTTGCTATAGTTGCTGCTACCTGAAATCAAATAAAGTTGTGCAAATGAGCATTTAGCAGACAGCTTGGAGGCAGTCTTTTGAGGAACTACTGGATGCGCTCTAAATTAAATAATGCAGTAGGAGCTTCAAAGATAAAGGCTGATAAAAACAAATGTTCTTAATTTGCACTACAAAACTGCTGTTTCTGGCTCATCTGTAGAAGCACTTACATAATTGCATGTGGAATCTAATGGCCAAAACCAAAGTAGGCAACTAAGCTGAGGCAACGAGCTGATGGGCCAAAAGTATTAGTTCTTAACTGCAAAATGTAGTCCCATTAATGTTCTCAGATAGAGTGAATCGATGCATAACTTGTAAATAAATGACAGGTTTTATATAAAAAAAACTTTGCATATAAGATGACATAAACAATAAACAATAAAAAAATTAGTCATTGAACTCTTTTCTCGACAGAGGTTCCACAGTTTTTGGAGAGGGATGAAATGATCAACAAAAATTAGGGGAAAAGAAGAAAGAAGGAAAAGAAACGCAAAGAGGCAAAACAAGGAAATAACATGAAAATAGTTTTCCATGACGAGACTAGGGCCTTGATTAACTAATTTACAATTATTCAGTAATGCTAAGATCCGGGACTGGCAAGTAAAATCTAACTATTTAGAACTTCTAGAAGAGGTCATTATTTTTATGAAAAACTCACAGAAAGCTTAGAATTTCCAAGACAAGCCATAGTGTGCATCGTGCTGATGCACACTATGGCTTTAGTGTCTTACTGACAAAATGCCCCATTGTGATATGTAATATGCAAGTCCTTTCCTGCAGCCTCAACCTGACAAAGAGGCAATAGGCTTTGGCCTGTCTTGGTGTTGAAAGGGAGTCTCGGCAAGGGCAATGGAGAAGGACTCAAATTTTGCCGATCATCTTAAGACTGTCATAGTATGCCAAAACTGCTGGTTTCAATGGGCATAGTCCTTCTTCAATAAGTAATAATAACTGTTTTAAACAGCGATTGCTGTGCTTGCTGCTAGTATTTTGATAAATTTTGCTATCAGTTTCGAGTCACAAAATGAGCTCTAAAAGATTCTTCTTACCAAACACATTTTGTATCATCTTTGCCCAAGCTATGAATCAGATTCAAAACTCTGATGGAGATAAAGACAACTAACTGAGAAGAAAAAATCTGTGGAACCTTACCTTTTCTGGATGAATCAGTGCCATTTTTATCAAATCGATCATTTCGGTCCATTCGATCACCTCTGCTAGGACGGTCACCTCTGTCTAAGCGCTCGCCTCGGTCACCTCTGTCTACACGCTCGCCTCGATCACCTCTGTCTACACGCTCGCCTCGGTCACTACCACGTCTGTAGCCTGAGGATGAACGATTAAAAGGGGGGCCACCACCTCGCCGTGAAAAGCCGTTCCCACGATCATTTCGGTCGCCTCTGTCGGGACGGTCCGAACGATCTCTATGTTCACTTCGGTCTTTACCAAGGTAGCCATTGGTGTTCTGGTAACCATCGGACTTTCGACTTGAATAATCATCTGTAAAAGGTAAAATATGTTCTGGTAACAGGCCATAAATATTCAGTCTTTGTAAAATGCATTAAGTTCACTGAAGGTCAGCTAGATAGAGAGTCAGCAAGTAGTGACCCCATTGAAAGTTGTCCTTAAATTTTGATGAAATGTAGCACTTGTGAAACTCATACATAATACAGTCAAAATCCAAAATTGAAAATCGTTTGAATCTCCATGGAACTTTAACTGGACAAATGTAATACTTTTGCTAAAGTTGTCCTCTTGTATCAGCCATCACCACTTCGATGATGTATTACTCAAATATAGTTCTTTGTGAATGACCAGATTAGGCACCGTTGTAAAAACCCCAATTAGGGCTGTTTTATCGGATGTCGGTAAGCTACCAAAACAGTTCCATCAAGAAAAAGTTACAATAAAAGCGCTCTTACTGATAGCGATCTGAGTTTTCGGAGCTGACAAAAGTGAGCTATTGCCATTTTTACATCTATTTTACTCGCCGTCGCGTGAGGCAGTCTGAAAAACCGACACACAGGGCAACAATGCATTGAGTGGGAGCTCTCATAACTCCCGATAAGGCGGGCTGTTAACGATATCATCGCCACTGTCGGTACTGCCACCAGTTTCGGAAAACTATGCCGATAGTGTTCCGGCAAGAATTCACTTGAACACCCCTATCCCCAATGAGAGCTTTAAATACATGTGTAATGGAATTGGTCATAGCTCAAATTTTTTTTGAAGGCAAATTTTTATTCTGATAATGCTATTACTTAAACAACTTAATTGCTTTGAAATTGATGTTACAGGTTGAAAACACCGTCACCTAGATAAGCAAATTTTGGCAATTTAAAAATGAAAATAAAATTAATTTTATTTTATAATGGTAGAGAAAGAAAAAAGGAGCATTAACTTACTTATATTGCCATCGCGTCCACGACCTCCGCGGCCGCGTCCTCCCCTGCCTCTACCTCTGCTACGACCATCACCACTTCCACGGTACCCGGATCGCCCTTGAGTTACAAAACCACTTTCCTGGCGCGGAGGGTCCCAGTCAGACATTCCCTGGTACTGATCACTGGGTGGATCTCCGACCCAGTCTTCGTTTGCCCAACTCTGCGTTTCTATTGGCTCCGATTGTGCACCCCACGACTCGTTCGTCCACGAGGTCACTTGCGGTTCAGGATCTAGAGGCACGGTCACAGGTGCTTGCTGAAAAAATTACAAAATGCATCTTCATTAATATAGATTTTGTAATAAGAGCCCATAAAATAAATTAAAAACAAGGCAGAATCTTCATTTTTGTTGATGCCATTTGCTTTGCTGAGCAATTGCGTTTCAAGTAAAAAATCATTATGATGCATTGAGAGACTATTGAAAGACTATTGCATCAAATCCACTCTTTAGATGGGAAACTAAAAGTAAGTGTTGAAAAACAAATTAAGGAATGAGTGGAATACTGCTACAGGTGTCAAATGTATATCAGGCCGAAGTATAACAACTTACCGGGACTGCAGGAACTGCTTGAAGCGGAACACTGGATGGACTTTGTGGTTGCTGCAGATGAGAAGGAGGCATTGGAATTGGTGGTGGTGGGATGTATAGTGGGTTGGTGAACGTCTGAGAGGGGATTGGTAGTGCTGATGCTGGCGGGGGCGTTGGAGTCACACCAACGTTCAGGTTCAATCCGGCTTCAGGGGGTGAATCAAGCTCCGATTCCTGTGCAAAATAAACCAGTTGATAATGGACGTTATCAAAATAAAATAACCAAGTTAAAACGTTCCATATTCTAATGCTTGGTCATACTCTCCTTTCTCTTGACTATTCATTCATCCTAACGTGAAACTCGGTGACTACTTCATTCGTAGAAGTTACATCATGCTAAAATTTGGAATTTTAGACTCCCATCGTAGGTCTGTTGCGCAGGTCTGCCCCCCCCCCTCAAAAAAAAGTTGATTTGTAACAAGCTCCTTTTGCTTGTAAAATCAGAATTTTTCCTCCAGTATTTTAACCATTCTCAATGAACCATATCTGGGTGTTTGAACAATCTACTGCTACAATTAAGGCACATCTGCGCAGAAATCTTGGGTTATTACTCTGCCGAATGATGTGACTAATGGAGCTCCAAACTGCAAATAGTACTCGTAAAAATAATTCTTTGAATAGGAGCTTCATCCAATTTGTAATTTTCATCTTCAATAAAATTTTCCTCATGAAAGAGACATCGTCACTTCTTAGCCTGTGGTTTCCAGTGAGGTACATACTTGGAGACAGAAGAGGCAAAAATTATGGCAGAGTTAGAAATACCTGGAAGAAGTTAAAAGTACTGTTGTTGGCAATTCCACTGAGTGGCTGGACAGGGGCTTCCTTCTTCGCTAGGAAGTGCGAATGCGAGGATACAGCCGCAGGCACAGGGTCACTGTAGAATGAGTTGTTTTCTTGTAGATTTGCAGTAGGAGGCACCGGAATGTTATTTTCTATTGACATTAAAAACATGCAATGAACAGGAGAAGAAACAAAGAAATCTTACATAAAATAAGTTGGTAGTTGATCACTTTAAAAAATATGCACTGTCAACCGTACTATACTTCCTGCTATACACTTCTTCGCTACTTATGCTACTATACTTCCTTCACTAATATTTAACTCGGGGGTGCTTGAAAACTCCGGCTCTCAATCTTCAGCACCCAATTTTATACAAAGCATTCTTGAAGCACGGAAAGAAGTAAAACATATGAGGTGCAAACCACACGTGCTTCATGCTTAACTCCCCCTCCTTGTTTTTTCTTTCTTTTTTTTATAGGGAGGATAGCTTTTCACAGCTACTTTAGGCTCAGGTTTTTTCGCTAAAGTTTAGTAGGGAAGTGATTCTGGGTAAGAGGCTACGACAACATGAGCGAACACTACAAAGACTAAATAGACCACATTTCGCAGAAAAGAACCAAGCCACATCAGCTATTCCCAAACTGCAGAAAGAAATATCACTGAAAATTGAAAAAAATCCTCACAATAGTTTTCATGTAAAAATTGAATTGCCCACTTAAATTTGACAATAGCTGATGTGGCTTGGTTCCTTCCTGCTAGACGCAGTTCAAAAAGCGGTCAATAACTTACGCTGGATGAACGGAGCTGTTTCAATTTCTCTGGCAGGCTCGGCAAGCTTAATTTCTGCTGGTTCAACTGGGGCTGGGGCTGGTGCCTCAGGTTCCACCTGTAACATAGAGAAAATAATTGAAAAAAACCGATCGGATTCAGATAGTAGAGAAGGTTAGAGGCCCGACTCAATGCTAAGTAGTTGAAACAGAATCGCTCGCTGGCAACATACGCAACCACTATTTTCTATTGTTTTCCAGTGACTAGCAGCAGGTATGTTGCTGTCGGACCACCTCCACGCAGGCAATTTTTGGTACATCGTCTGTCCGCAACTCTCGCTTGGCCAATCAGCAAAGTGGTATGGAAATAGAGAGAAAAAGAGAGCATTACTTCAGTCACACTTACAGCAGTCGGAGGGATTTCAAAAACAGGAACTTTGGGAATGATCACAGGTATTTCGGCAAAATAGTCACAGCTTTTAATCTCATCTACAGTCTTCTTCAACTCTTCGTAGGTTGTGCCAACAACTGCTGCTGCATTGGCCTCTAGGAAATTCTGAATATGCTGTGCTGCGGAGACTCGCTTTTCCTGAGAACAAAAATGAACTATGTTTAAACCTTTAGTACCTTTTAATTTATCAGCATTGAAATGAGGTTTTGACCTTGGTTACAGTCACTAAGAGGTAAAAAAAATCTCTAAAAAACGCAATAGTGTATTTCCTTCGGAAAATACACTAAAAATCACCAACAGTATCACTTCTTCTTGCATACACAGGGTTGGCATCATTCTCTAATTCACATTAAAAAATATTTATGATGATAAATGATGGAAAAATTTATTAGAAAGGAAGTAACCCACACTCTTAAGGTCCGACTGATCTTCCTCTCACCTCCCAAAAATTCCTTCAACACCTATGAAAACTACTGAAAACAAGTGTACCCAAAAATAATGAACATCCATTCAAGAGCTTTTTAAGAGAGGCTTCAGACAATTTTCTCCCAGTTTTACAAAGGATAAATAATGGCTAGGTGGCTTTGAATCTTGCTTAATTGTATTAAAATGAATGGAATTGAGAAGAGAATAGAATTTTTCTACAAAGTTTAATAGATCTAGTGATTTTTGCTGATACTCTACAAAGAGGATTGCAATAGAAAAAAACTCTTGGAAATTTTTTCCCTACCATATTCCAGGAGCTCTTATCTACTATACTTTCAATTAAATGGGATACATATGAACATACGTTTGATGATATACTGGATTTTTCACTTTCCGACGATTCTGGATAGACCTCTTTGTAAAATGCTTCCAGTTGGTTTATCCGTTCTTCAGAGATCTGAACGGCACCATTAACACCATTGATGAAATTCTGTCGGACATCTCCTATCTGCAGCTGGGCTAAAATATCCTGAAATGAAAAACATGGCTGATATTATATTTCTGATGGGGATTGTAATGAAGTAGAACTTGAGTATTGCCTAAAAATATTTCTCATGTATCTTCAGATCGATTTGCCTCATGGGAAAAAGTTATTACTTTAAAAAGTTATCTGTTTTGTCCTTGCAATGAAATTCGACTCTTCTGTTTAGGTAAAATATAAATATTTGGAGTGAGCAAGTTTGATCATTTATTTAAAAAATGAAAGTGTACTGCAGTGAATATGCCAACTATGTTGGTAAAAATCTGATTTATCATAACACCAGGCTGCTGATTCTTTGGGGTGAAATAGTAGAGAAGGTGAAACCCCTGCTTTATATTAAGAGTAATGAATTAGACTAATCTTGTACCAACCATAGGTAAATTCACCAGGTGACCTCTGCCAGCATACATGTATTCATGTGCTGTGCCCAAATAAGTAGATCCTTTGAAAGTCAACTACTTATGTTTCTTTCTTCAAACTTTTCTTCACTCCATGAGAAAATGAAAATCTCTGAGCTGCATTGGATAGTTTAACCACTTCATAAGACAGATTGGTCCTGTATTAATTTGAAAAAGGCTTCTTTTTATCCATGGAATGCGATGGATCAGGATTCTTTAGGATTCAAAAATTATTTTGCAACATTCCAAGGGTGGTCTACTTTACAGATCTAGTGTAACCGCGACCTCGTCTCACCTCAGAGGAGCAATCCAAGCATTCCACTAGAACACAAGGATCGGGCTTGGCCACACCAGAGGGACCGGGATAAAAAGGTGAAGCATTTCATCACATTCCATTTTGATCCTCTGTCGTTTGGATGGTAAAAATACCTTGCAGTATTCTTATATCCAGAGTGCATTCTACTTGACTTAATTCTGCAGAGAAATTCAGGAAAGTTTAGGATTAAAAAGAATCTAAAAAGTATACAATGGATCTGGAGTTGCTTTCAAACTGAAACCAACCTGAAGTTCCAGAATGAGTTTAATGTTGGCCAATTCTTTCTCCTTCTGTTTTTGCGATTCAAACTTTTGATCCTGGGCTGCTTGGAGGGCGTAAGATACCATGGTCTTGACAACATCCCTTGCAAAATCCAGAGTTGCTGAGACCTCTTCATACTTGGATATTGCTTGAATTTGGTCAGCATCAAGCTTCTTTCCATTGGTCTTCAACTGGCGGTAACTTTCCAGTTTGCCCTGAAATCCATTGAAGGTAAAATTAATAACAGGCGGGGTGAACATCTTGAAACCAAACAAGCTAGGTTTGGGGGTGGTGATTCTAGTGTTTTTGCAATTGTAAATTAACATACATTTCTGAATTAAATAAACAAAATAAATAGAGTTTCGGTTTGCAGAGCAAAAAAAGCAATCCCTGCTCCTTTACTCTAATCACCAGTTCAAACATACAAGCTGTCAAAGACATTATGAGGAAACCGAGACTAAATTTTGCGCCATATAGTATTTACTGGAGCAGACATTCTTGATCAAAAATATAAACTTTCCCTGCTTATGACATTACGGAAAAATTTGTGTTCACCGATGCAAAATTTTTGAAACATCACAATGGAGAAGAGAGTGGTTTGAAACTTTCACTGGTGCTTTGCTTCATGATTTAATTTACTTTCAACTAAAATGTCAATGTGAACCAAAATTGCGATCTACTGAAGTCCTAGAGCTCACTCATGAAATGTTCTGCAACAATTCAATTCAATTCTATTTACTATTATACGATACAATCCTAGGGCAATGGTATTAGGATTGCTGTTGAGAAATTATACTGCTTTCACATCACTAATTAAGAGTGAAAAAGATCAGTGGTTTGGGATGTCTTGAACACTCATTGAAACAAACGATGAATGAGGTTCACCTGCAGGGCAGCAGAAACTTCTGGACTACTTAACCCAGACTTGATTCTATTAACAATTTGAAAAATGCAAGAACAGTCGGATACATGTTTCTCCTAAAGTCAATGACATAGAATTTGACATTTTGCAACAAAAATTATGAAAAATGTTATGTGTGAGAAAAAGAAAAGGGCATTGATCATAATGCGCAGAGATGTACGTGCAGCCTTGAAAATATTACCAAAGTGCGCATACTGCCCGTCCGTCTACCTCCTCTTAGTTCATTAGAGCTCAGACAAAAGTGTTCCACATGTCTGCCTAGATCAACGATGCAAGAGCACATTCTGCTGAATGATTGAATTTCCAAGCTGGCCACTCAATGTCAGTCTCAATTAGAACGAATGAATATATGAGCGACATCAGATACCTCCAATCCTTCTTCACCCACCAGAGCTTGCTCTTCACATGTTGGGACAAAGCGTTAAGAAGTGTTTATGTCATCCTTTATCAACATGTAGTGCCATTTGAATTCAGGTATTAACTTGTTGAGTGGCACTGATTCAGAGCTAATTAGAGATTGACATTTGTCTCAGCTCTGCTGGAGGAGCAACATGTATCGTTGAGGTTTTCATGTGCCGAGTAAATAGCGTGAACCGGTATTAAAAGTACCCATACACCAATTGGGATCAATAAGGACATCGTAAGTTGAAAAGGATAGGAAAACGCCGTTTCTGCAATTGAATATGCGTCAGCAACAACTGATCTTTGTAACAATGTTCGCAACGCACGTATTACAAATCGGTGTTCTCATTCCAGGATTCATGCGGACCAAAAGGGACCTTCATTCCGAGGAGAGAAAGCTTCTGCCATTATCTCACTAAAATCGTACCATGGACAGAATGAATTTCAGAGAAGACTTACTCACTAGATGATAAGTAGAAATGATACAGGCAAGATGGCAGGGGTAGATTGGATAGGCCTAGCCTCAAAGTGCTGCATCAGGGGGTGAGAGAAAGCTGTTTGGGGACCTCAACTAATGTCTAGACAGATTTAATGGCAGAAAGATGCGAAAGTGTGTTCAGGAAGGAGTAAGGGCATGAGTAATATCACGGCATTGTAAGAAAGCAGAATAGCGGTCGGCAAGACACATGGCAGAAGATGATGGTAGGATTGTTACCTTGCGTTTCTCCAAGTTCCGGATTTTATGCTCCAGAAATTTAATGCACAGCTTGGAGCACGAATCCGTGATCTCCGGTTTGGCTTTCTCCACGTCGATTGCCGAAGCGGAAGGCATTATGGTGAACTTTTCACACAAAACTCACTCCTAAGGATGACAAAAACTTAGCACCTAGAGCTTTCGGAGATGGGTTGGAGATGAGGAGGGGAAGGAAGGGAGGCTGGCGATGAGAGGGAAAGGGGAGGAGAGGAGAGCGTGAAATCAAAAGGAATCACCATAGAATAGCAAGAGGGTAACCATCCCATGAGCCGAAAGCGGTCTGATGATTTTTCAATTCTTGTTCAGTACCTTCAAAATATTTATTAAATATAAAAATATGACAAATTACCGCTTATCTTCTCGTTTTCTGAAAAATTCCAGTGTTTCCAGTCATGTTTTTGGAGCTCTGATTGGTCAGATATTCTCAAACTCAAAAAGAAGGCGATGCGAGGATATACATTTTTTTTGGAAAACTAAAGCCACAAGGCGATCTAAAAGGGGGAGTTATATTTTCGTATCTAAAGGAAAATTTAGCTTGGATTGATCCACCCATAATTGTCGCGATTATCATGAGAAATTTGCCAAAAATATCATCTTCGACCGCAAAAGCAGGAAGAGGTTCGGTACTCGGGCTCCTTTTTAGACCCATCAACGGTACTGTTGTTGCTGTCCTCCACTCTGTGTAAACACCACTGTCTGATTGATTTGAGCTTTGATCCGCAATCATTATTAGCTTAAAGTTTCTATTTATCATAAGTTATTATATCATTAGAGTTATCATCGAGTAATATTGTGGATAGTGTTCTCTTTCCAAATCGCAAATCAATCGCATCTTTCTTGGTCTTGATTAATTGCCGGTTGCGACGAATTATTGTGTGCGGTGGCCCGTGTTTACCTTTGTGAATTTCCATCGGATATGTCCGATTAATTAGCCACGAACCTTGCTCTTCTGACAATTCCAAGGCCTTCCTTCGTAAGTAACACTCTGTTTCCAACTATTTTGTCCCTTGAACCATCAATTCTCCTTGATTTCTCAAAGACTTGCTCCTCCACTCACTATGCCTCTTTTGTGTGTCCATTGTTTATGGCACTTCTGAAAGTACCAAGTAATTAGTCTTATTAATAAATTCATCCCTGCATCATTGCAACAATGATGTAGAAATTAGTCAGAGAGAAATTTCATAGATGTGTGCCCTGAGCTGCTGTGCGACTCACCATTCGAGCAATGTTCTTGAGCTCCTGCAGACACCCATCTACCCGGTCAAGGACCTGAGCACCAACTGCAGACTTCATCCTCATTTGATGTAGTTCATCAATCTAGCTCTTCAAATTTATCCTCTAACAATAACAGTCTCTCATAGGGTGATATTTAGTCAGTAAACTTAAGAATTGGAAGGATTGCAAGTTTCTTAACAATGGTGTATCCTTTATCAGAGAATTCCATTGGTTAGATTGGCGTTCTTTTTCCTGCCTCAAGATTGATCATACTTCGTTATCCTCTGATACTTGGTACACTTTTAAAGCTGAAACTAAGACAAGATAAACATAGACGGTAAGCAACAGCAATCAATAGAGAAGAGCAATGTTCGGACTTGTACTGAAGGTTTCAGCCATACTTTATGAAAGTAGATTACAAAATGCACGAGAAAGGAACACATCAGCCAGAAATCAATGTTCCTTTATGAAAATGGAGAGAGGTATGTGAGACAGTGGCAAAGCATGAGTCTTAGGAATGGAATTAAATATTAAAAGGAATGAATATGAAAGCTATGAATCACAATTTTCCAAGATGTATGATAATTTTTTTGAATTTTAAAAAGATAGCCTGTCATTTCCGACTGAAAATTTAAGAGAGTGTAGGGGGTGCAGAAAATTATCAGCCTACCTATTTTTTTAATCGACCTCTCCATTTTAAAAACTCCTTTACCTCCAAAGTCTTCGAAGCAGTAACGTTTTCATCATTACTGTGCCCTCCATTTACTACTTGTTGCAGTTTTTATTTTTGCCGTGTGCTGTGTTCCTACTCTCAACATCCTTTTTTATGATCTTCCCATTTTTTTGCGCAATGAGCCACTGAATAGAGGGCTTGTGGTTGGGAAGTCTCTGCACTTGACTTGTAACCAACAATGTAAACAAAAATCACTCTGCTCTTCAAAGATTGGAAAACTTAAATTTTCACAAGATGAATGCATTTCTGCCCCTTTTCAGCCGTCAAATTATCATGAGCATAGCTTGGAATTTGACTGGGGATGGGACCTCATACTCTTTGGCCTTTAAGGTCTCTTAATCCCATTTTTGTCAAGGGAGACAATGAGTATAAGCTCTTGAGAAGAACTTGCCCCCTCTTTTTGCAGCCCTACCCTTGGCAATCGTGCAATCTATTTACTGCCCTTGTGGATGATTGATCTATATACTCTTCAGACTGCATAAAATGACTTTTTATGTAGTCCCTTTAGTTATAAATATTCTTCTAAACCTTCCCGTTTTTCTTTTTTCAGGAAGCTCAATTTTTATCCAGAGCTATGTCGGTGCACAGTTTTCAATTGTGAATATGTCCGGAATTGAGAAATTTCAAGACGCAACATCAATTTACTACCATTTGCCTTCTGTTGGCCCAGAGTCAGCTAGGAAGAATCAATTGACAAGCAATCTGCAGTAATTTAGCTTTCTCAATCATAGTGCAATTAGATCATAACTCATTAATCATGAGACAAAGGAAGAAAAAAATCTTCCCACTGATGAAAGATTTTAATTATTTACCTTTTTCCATAGGTAACTGAAGCAATCATTCACAAAACATTGCCTGGTCGTGCCATACTTGATAATTGAGGAAGTAACGTCCTGTTACCATTTTCAGATCCCTTGACTAACTGATGAGCTAGCAGGAGCTAACCACTCATTGCATATCAGTTTTGTAAGCAATTTCTGGGGTCCAGTAACTTTAATTGACCCTGTTAATTCTCTGTATTCAAATTTCTAATCATGACAAGCAGTCAACTAGAAAAGAAGAGATTCTACTGCCGAGAATGGGTCTTCGTGAAGCTGTCAAACTGTCTTTCGCAACGGAGTTCTTCCAAGAAGATGGGCGCCCTCATCGTGGGCGGACCAGGTTCGGGCAAAACTGCAATTTGTTGTGAGGCAGTTTGGCCAAGTTCCGGTACTTCAGCTAAGCCTCAGCGGTCTCTGAATCGATATCTGCTTGCGTACCATTTCTGCCAGGCACAAGATCTTACCTCACTTTCAGTCGTTACGTTCATACAGAGTCTGGTAGAACAGCTGTGCGCGAAGTCAGATGAGCTGTGCACAGCTTATACTAATAAGGTAAGGACTACTTTTGTCTCTTTAGCAAGGAAAAATTCGTAGCTTTTTGAGATGTACATATTTCGTTTACCATTGAAGTTGTAATGATACTACTGCCTAGAAGACCGTATGAGAATGATTAATTTTTCCACAATTTTTTTTTAGAATTTGCTTGCTTGACAGAAAATGCGGTTTTTTTGCTATCAAAAGTAATTTTTCTAGTGGGTGCCAACTTTTATCATTACCCAATTCAAATCCTTTTTTAAAACATACCTACAAAGATTGTGTTTGTTTGCAGATCAAATCGGATCCAAGGGTGCAAGCGGCACTGGAGACTGAGGCCTTATTGAAGGACCCTCATGATGGGTTCAAGAAGGCTGTGCTGCTTCCATTGCTAGAGTTAGATCCACCCAAGCATTCGGTATTCCTCCTCGTCGACTCGATCGATGAAGGACAGTCACTTAGAGCTGAGCGCCGCAGCCAGGAGCTCCGTACAATCGCCGGGCTTCTGGCTGAACACCATCACCTCTTTCCTAACTGGCTTTTGCTCGTTTGCACCGCAAGACGTCAGAGCAAGACTGTTGCAAAGATGTTTTCGGGTTTTCGCAAACTTTGCATTGATGATCTCAGAAAATCCCAGGTAATTACGCAAAAAAATCAAAGATTTTGGAAAGACTGTGTAAAGTAGTCAAATAGAGGTAGAAATCTACTACATGCTGAGCATTCTCAAAATTTATTTATATTCTTTTTTAGTTTTTGAGGGTAAGGTAATAAAAAAAGAAGGTAAAACTTCAGAGGAGATGAGAAAAATTGCATCAATGGCGGTTTTTCCAAAAAGCGCATCACATGATAAGTGTGCTGACCTCAAATTATAGACTGCTTTCATCTAATGTCTTAGCTGATCACAAGATCATAAAAATTAAATTTTAATTGTATTAATTTCATGAATATAATTTGTGATTTAATTTTGTACTTGATTTACTTTGACAACAGTACAACACAACCAAAAGCTTCGGTTCTCTCCATTTGATCAATAAATATGTATGTCTCTCAGTGGAACTTTACATTTTTTTCTGACATTTGGTTTTCATCTGAAAGATTCAGAAATGGATGATAAAAAGATCTATTATAAGTCCAAAAACGTTAACATATTGTTGAACCCTCTCAAGTAATAACAATGTGATCATCACACTAGTTTAGTAAATTTTATCAAAACTATTTAAATTATCACAGATTGCCGCATATTTTATGCATCATTTCAGTTCTTAAATTCTATACTTATTTCTGTGCATCCGTCCATCATATGCAATTATGTGTTTTTTATTGCTTAATTTTTTCCCTCCAGGTGATCAGGGACATTCAGCAATATATTCTATCACGGCTGGAGTCAGAGGAGTCGCTGCGCCAACATATGTCGAAAGATACAGCGGAGATGTTAAATCAGTTACACATAAAGAGCAACGGCTGTTTTCTCTACCTAGAGCGTGTGTTGGATGGTGTCGGTGAAGGCTGCATCATTCTGCGGGAGGTGAAAGAAATCCCGGGGACTCTTAATGGGCTCTACTTATGGCTCTGCCAACGATTACTTAGCACAAAACATTTCTCAAAAGTATGTATTCTTCCTACTTTTTTACTGATGAGCTCTCTCTTTTTAACAGAAAGGAGCTCTCTCAAGCCTTGCAATTTGAATGCTTTAAAAGTAGCTTAAAAAGTATGCTTAAATGCTAAAGTAAAAAATTAGCATCTTTGTTTAAGACATTGCAAGTCTCTGCTCATGAATTATTTATTTTGAGGAAGACTAACCATTAGGCTGCATTGGAATGATTGAGAATTTTTTTCTTTCATCCTAAATAAATTTAACAAATTGTACGGTAACATATTGATTAGTTTTCTTGAAGGAGATAACACATAATTTGAGATTTTTAAACGTTGCAATTGGGGCTCACATTTTTCTCTATTAGCCCAAGTCTTTCTATTTTAAGTGCACCATCAATTTTAAAATGTTACCATTGAAATTCTCTGCAACACTTTACATGAGATGCTTGTTTTTCTGCAATACAAAGCTCGGGTGAAGACATTTTGACCGAAATTTGTTGCAATGTCAGCCTCAACTCTTTCTCATTTTTTGGAGAATTTGCTCACTCAGAACAAGTAAATAATGCTCCTTGAGCCAAAATATTTAAAAAATCAGAGCTTATCTTCCTTAAAAAGCCAAAGTTTTCATTGAAATATTTTCTCATGTTCTGCATGAACCAAGGCCAGAGCTCTGAAATATTTTCTCCATCCCTGATTTAAAGGTTTAGTGCAATATGCGTGAGTACCTATGTGATATTTTCATGATCTTGAGCTGCTAAAATGGTTTTAAATTTGAAAAAGTTTAGAAAAGAATTAGAAACATTTAGGTACCCATCATGCAACTGAAACTGTAGTTATAAGATTCTGTTACTTGCTCATAATCTATTAAACAGGACAGTATGTTGGAATTTTTTAGCCAACGTGCATTAGAAATTCAGTACAAAGCTGATATATCAATATAGAGGGAAAAAGCTCACACACAAGCATAATTTTCCCTCAATGAGATACAATGTTTGGAGCAACACTAGTAACAACCATTTGCATCTGCAGACGCGTTTTTGCCTTGTTGGACCAATCCTCAGTGCAGCGCAGCCTCCTGAATTTCTTGCTACTGAGCAAGAGCTCTTTTTCCCTCTGTATTGAGATATTAGCTTTATGCTGAATTTATAATGCACGTTGGCTAAAAAAACTCCAACATACTGTCTCACGACCCATCACATCAGTTTGTGTATTAAACAGGAGGTTAAAAGAGTGATTAAATCCTGGTGCATTTTTGCTTGCTTTAAGTTTTTAGCATTGTCCTTGTTTGTAGGTTCGGCCATTGCTGAATATAATGCTGGCATCTCAACGACCATGCACAGAGGCTCACCTGGAGGCCTGTTTTCATGCATCTTTGCCGAGTCATTCCCCCGAAGACTTCAGGCGCAGATTCCATCTCTTGAAACGTGTGTCATGCATCCTTCGCGATGGTGCTGTTCTTCCTTTCCACTACTCTTTTGTCGAGTGGCTGCTTGATGTGAAACATTGCACGCGGCGCTTTTTATGCAGCAGTCAGGAAGGGCATATGATGCTCGCTCTCTTCTACACTCAAAGGTAAAAAAATGAAAATCTGCTTCTCTCCAGGTTGTGTAATGTGTAATGAAGTGAGTTTAGTAAGCACTTGGACTCAGGTAGACTTTGGTATTTTTTGAGAACATGATGGACAAGGAAAAATTTAATCCCTCTTAAAAATAAATTTTGAAGGTTCTATGTATATCCTACATATACTACTACTAATTAGTCGCTCTTATAGCGTTTCTGTGTGCTCTGCGACACCCAACTGCCACTGACAGCGATCTTGCCAGAGCTCCACCGGCAGATCGCATCTCCTCATTTCCTGCCTTATTCCCTCAATCCACAATTTCACAGGGCGTCCTCTACGTTTTCTACCTGGGGGGACCCAATCCAGAACCTTCTTAGCAACCTATCATTTGGCATCCTTTGCACATGCCCATACCAAACCAGCTTTTTTGTGAAAATGTCATGCACCTTGTTGTTTTCGACGCCCATAATTTCATGTACCCTTACATATACCATGTGATTTCATGATGTTTCTTTCTCCACAAGATTATCTTGGAACCATTTTATCGTACAGAAATGATTTCTATGGGATTTGGATACTTGATTCGCCATTGAAATTGATAACTTAAATTCTGAGCTCTTTCATACAACAAACTTTTAAAAGAAAAAATTAAAACGGTAGCAACTTTTAATATTTTTTAAGCCCTCATTTTATGTCTTACAGAGGAAACAAACTGACTGGTGAAGAAATTCGTGACCTGGCCTACCATTTAAGCCAGATCAACCTTTGGGCAGGGGCTGTAGATGCAACTTTATTGGCCAAAGTGTGGCTATTGGAGGCGGTAGAGAATGTAACCCCTGCACTGGAAACTCCATGTCTGGACAAGAAAGCGTGGAAATTGCTCACAGATTTAGACCATCACTCTAACGCTAGCCAGGTATGTTGAAACAACATTTAGAGATTTATCAAGAACGAAAAGTAATGGGATGATCATTTGATCCTGCAAGATCTCTCTGCATTGAACAATATTTTTAAGTATATGAAGCATGAGAGCGACACATCTTTTTCATCGTAACTTCTGGTTGATCTCTGGGACACAAGACATGTTGAATCGCATTATCATGGAACCCAGATTGCTGAACCCATATTCGGAATGATAAAAATTTGTTTCAATAATTAGTCGTTCCTCTTTTGGCTCAAATGATTTTTAATTTGATTTTTCTCCATATTTTCATTGTTTAATTCCTGCCTCAGATTTCAGGAAAGTCTACAGATGAGGTGGTAAAAGATTTCTGAATTTGTAAGTAATTACGACAAGCAGTTTCCTTTTTGTCAGGAAGTTTTTCAAGTCTGAAGACAAGACACTAATGTGTTTTTCTTGTCTCAAGAAATTGCAACATCAAAGTCTGTTTTTTGACGGACTCATTCTGTCTGCATGTATTACAGTCAGCATCTTTCATACAGACTGATATCACCATGGGGATTCTCAATTGAAACGAGCAGCAATATGGCAAATGAATGACAATTCTGCCAAATTAAATCCAAAAATTAACTCTATCTCACTCAAAGCCACCAATGAAAAAAAATCATAACTGCAGCAATATCCAACCTTCTTCGTGACTCGAGTCTGAATTAGTTCATTTAGCTCATGGTGTTTTCTTTTATTTCAGATTTCAAATGAGGCAGCGTCTACGCCTGTCTCTGAAAAGGATGCCGTTTCAGAGCTCTTAGCTGGAGATGTTGATGTGCGAGATAGTAGTGGGAAAACCCAGCTTCACAACCTTGCCGCAGAAGCAAACCACGTTTTACTGGAAACTATCCTCACTGCATGTCCAGATGTTGATATTGAAGCAACTGACAAACGAGGCCAAACCCCGCTCAACTTAGCTGCAAGGCATGGACATCCCATGGTTGTTGAGGTGAGCTCATTCGTTTTCGTTCTTTAATTTACAAGGTATTAAAACCATCATTTCGAGTTTTCTAAGTACTCCTTCAAGTAAGCACAAATTTCTGGGTTGTCCAACACTTAGCAACGTTTAAAAATAAGGGTAAGATATTTTGAAGTTATTGTGATCATGCTAAATCAATATCAGACATTTTTTGGGAGGAAATAATAGCCATTATAGCATTCTCCGTCATTAAGTCAGCTCTAATGCTCTCTCCAAAATAACCTGTGAAAATTCGCTCTCTTCAAAAATCTAATAGAGACTGGATTGAAAATCCAGATTATCCAGGTATTGAAAATCCACAGTAAATTAAAAATCCAGACTCCAAACGGATTATTAAGTCTGACTCTACCTTATATAAAAAGAAGTATAGCCCAGTTTCTCAGTTTTTAGAGTAAGATTTTGAAACATGATTTTAGTAGAGAGGGTCCTTTATTTAAAACAATAGGGATTCGTATACTTATGTTTATAGCCTGGAAAAAAACGACAACTGTAATTGAAAACCTGATAATTCTTCTCTTGTGCAAAAATTAGAAATAATTGTTAGAATTGGTCTTTATTTATAAAGTAATAGCCTCGAGGTTGGATTATAGTAGAATTTTGTAGAATCATATGCTTATTTGAACTACTCAATTTAAGGTTTATCTATTCACATAAATTTAGTTTTATCTAAGAGTTAGCTCCTAGGAAACTTTATTCACATCTGCATATATTTTGTAGCGTACCTTTGCAACAGCTAAGTTTAGAGCACCAATGCACTAAATTTGTTGGGTCTGGGTATTTTTTTTCCTTTGGTGAACGGGTTATTTTGCTCAGGTGCTGCTGAATGGTGGTGCCGATGTGAACCACGCAGACGACGATGGCTGGACAGCACTGCGAGCTGCTGCGTGGGGTGGTCACACCCAGGTAAAGCGCGTTTTAGCTGACTGTGTGTTCAGTGTTCGAGCATTCTAGCGATTTATGTTTGTGTTCTTTGCTCTGAATGTCTTGCAGTCTTGCTTGTCAACAGGCTGTTGGGTTTGAGTTTAGTTTTATTTTCTTATTTTTTGGTTTTGTAATTTATGATCTCAGTCAACAAAAAATTTTAGTCTGAAGAAATGTTAGTTAGGCTTGTAAAAATATCAAGATGGATGGTTTTCTCTGTATAATTTGTTCTTGTTCTGTAGGTATTTTTTCTTTTGAATTTTTCTGCTAAATTTTTCCCTTTAAATTTAGCGGTCTATCAGCAGGAGCTAGGGCAAGTGGTGTCTCTATCTCTAATTCTAGACTCTGCTAGTAAAGGATAACCTCCTTCAGCTGAAAGCAGAAGCTTCCCTATTTTCCCCTTTTTTTTGAGCATCTTAAAAGTTCCAGTTCAAACAAAATGTGATGTTGGTAGCATTCAAAATTTCTAAGAAGGAAGTTGTTATTCTGGAAATTAAATTAGGTGAAATAATGGCAAAATAGGAGATTGTAAAGAAGATGAAAGGTTTTTGGAGGAAGAAATCAAGCCTTTATCGGTTGAATTTAATCGGTCACTAGTGATGGAAAAGAAGTGCATCTCAATTTGCCTGAATTGTATTATGTTCTGCATGCTGTGTATAGATGCTAATTGTTCTTTTCTGTAACGCATGGATTTCAGCATAGAATTTTTGTTCTGAAAGTTTTTTGAATGGTCTATTCTTGTGCATTTTGTCCTAATTTCGAAGTAGAGGTTCAAAAACGATAGTGATTACGGGAGGTATTCTGAATTAAAAAAAGTGTGCTCTCATTGGATTCCAAATGGATGCAATTTAGAAGTATGGGCTGTTTGTTGTGTAGGTTTTGCCTTTCTAATGGTTGATTTTTTAAGTAATATAAAATGAAGGTTCTCAAGGCGCATTCAAAATAATTTTCGAATTACTTCGCCAAAAAAGCATGAATTGAATTGTGCATGGCTCGTTTTGTTGCTATAAGTTTGTTGGAGAAGGCTGAAATATATATTTCAAATGGCGACCTTTTTGAGGGCTTTGGTGTCTGTTGTTTTAGGAGATGTTTTCAATAGCTTTTTAAACAAGAGAACAGAAAATCTATAACATTGACACGTTTAGTTGGCCAGAAGGATCACTCTCCCTCTCTTTCGCTCCCTTGTTGCCACCTTGAATTTTGAGAAGTGTCTCAGTTTATGGTGTAATTTCTACTCACAGAAATGGACCCTACATATAATCTAACAATTTTTTAAATGGATTTTTATTTGCTACTGTGTGTAGATTTGAGCATGTCTGTGCAATGATCCCTATTTTTGACATTATTATCAAGTTTGCGGAAATATCAAGAAGCTCTATAATTTATACTGTTTTATTGAAACTTTATCTAAATAATTTCGACGCAGGCCAATTTTATCGCTAATTTTGATGCAGGCCTATTTTATCGCATGGCTTAAAAGCAGTTTTTTTACAAAGCCTTAACTGATTCCACACCTGCAAAAACATTTAACTTCAGGTTATTTGACAGCATAAGAATACTAGCCTGCACTGAAATTGAGGATATATAAATCAGAGGGAACTCGTCGTCTTTCTCACGAAAAAACGCAACTACATTTCAATGTTGCCGGATTTTTCTGCGCAGATTGCATTTTTACCTGGAGAATTTCGAAAATTTCTAACCGAAAAGTTCGTTAATTTTTCTTCTGATCTCATCCAAAAATCAGACGAATTTTAGACAAGAACCATACAAATTTACTCTCGTAAAAAATTAAATTTTTATAGTCAATTTCGCAACCTTGGAATCGAATTACGTTCCTTAGTGCAGGAACTTCAGGTTATTTGACAGCATAAGAATACCAGCGTTTACTGAAAATATATTACTGCTCTAACATTCCAGTTAATGACGCGTTTCTTTGAATTCTGCATTTAAGTAAATACAGGCCAATTATTTTGTAAATTTTCTTGATTTTCTTTGAGGGAAGTTTTCTCTTCTTTTCAAAAACATACATGCAATTCATTTCAAGAGATTATTGCGAGAGAGAGATTAGTAAGAGAGAATTGCACAATTAGGAAGTAATGTACTCTTTAAAATTCACTACTGTGTCTGTACATTAGCTGAGACAAGTCGTTGAAACTTTTGAATCCGGATATTAAAGTGGTTTTCTTAGTTTTAAAACTAATTCAACATTTCTGTAAAGGTTTTTTTTTAAATTTTACTTTTAACTTCAATTTTGTTCTATACATATTATGCCATTGCTCAGCCTTGAAAAAGGCATTGAGAAGACCTCTCAAGAAGGAAGTAGGTTTCTAGTAGGTTTTAGTGGGGTATTATTTGTACCAATGTTTTGTATACTCAACATATGTACAATTGTAGTGCACGTGACTCCCTCAGTCCCGCATATTTGGACAAGAGACATCAGTGCTGCTTCTAATGAAGCTTTTGTTGTATTACTTAATTTTTTAATGTATATTCGAATGTCACTGTTTCCAAGTAAAAAAACTCGGAAAAGCATTTTCGCCTTTTTTTATACCCAATTTTATTTATAACTTTCTGACCAAAGTTTAGAATCAGATTACGTTTTACAAGAGAAAAACTTGATCTGAGATCCAAAAAACAAACAAGAGAAAAGAAAAATTTAGAAATTTTTGATCAGGGTTATGTTGCTACTTACTTTGCTTATCCTGCATCTGCATTCGCCAGCCTTTATCGGAAAACTTGACCATTGCATTATAAAAAATTCAGTCTTAGCATGTAGTTTTCCAAAATTCGCTGTATTTAAGTATGCTCATTGTATAATCCATTTCTCATAATGTTCGAAATTTTGTAATTGCATCAGAATGCAATAAAACTTGCAATGTGAAAAAAATCGAATTTCTTTTCAAATTAATAGTCATTATACATTTTTTTACTTCTTGGCAGAACTAATTTTTAATAATAATTACTCCTCCTTTAAAACCTCCATTGCATTTATATTTTAATATAATTATTTTCATCGGCTTTCGACATATTTTTAGTATGTGAATAGTATCTAAGATAATGCAAAGTTTTTACAGCTGACTAATCCACTTTCCCCAACTTTTCTATTATATTCCTCAGCTCAGTGTTTCTTTTCAGTCGCTTTCGCCCATCTGGAAAGATCGAACTGTAAATCTGACTGTCAAGCCTATTGAAATACGGTTGAAGACACCAACTTAAGTTGAGCATTAGTAGATGCCAATGCTTTGTATCATCAACTAATCAATGTTTAGAGATATGTTTCGTAATCAAGGCCCTTAATTTTTTTAGGTTGTAGAATCTCTCCTCCGATGTGGCGCAGATGTAGATAGTAGAGATATGGACGGGCGAACAGCATTGAGAGCAGCAGCTTGGGGCGGACACAACAGCGTAAGTTTCATATAAATCTAAACAGTCTATTTCTGTAATTCTCAATCTTTTCATCAGCAATTATTCTAATTTCTAACCAAGCTTAGTAAAATCGAATTAAGTTAGATCAAGTTTGAATTGAGAAAAAGAGGTTCAAAGTTTTACATCTGTACAAGACTCAATGTCAAGGACAATCTTGAACGACTATTTTCACTTTCAAATCTTAAATTTGAATTTTTGACAGGAGAAATTTTCTAAGTGTTGAATTCGAAACTATTCCCAACACATAATTTTCTCGGTGTCTCTGTTAAACTAGGTCCATTATAATGTTTATTTAACTGTATTGATCACAAATAATAGTATTTTCATACTATCTTGAAGGTCTCTCTTAAAAATTCACCTTATGATAAAATTATTCCATACATATCAGAAATGAAGTTTCTGTAAAGAAAGAAAGTCCGCCAAAAGATGAGACGAATAACTTTTGATGAAATCCTCACTGCATTTATTTTTTAACGAAGTGTGGTGGTCTGCCATTTCAAATTCCTTCAATAAAATCTAGGTAGCTGAACACAATGAAATGCTGTAATTTTTGGATAGTTTACCCTGGAAGAGCCTATGTTGTATAAAGAATATCCCAATTTAAGTTTAGTGTATTTGTAAGTGCAATAATAACTGTTTCATTGGACCCAGGTTGTGAAGAAACTACTTGAAAATGGAGCTGATCCAAATGCTAGGGATGCTGAAGGTCGGACTGCACTCATTGCAGCAGCATATATGGGTCATTCAGAAATAGTTTCAGTTTTGCTTGAGTATGGGGCTGACATAAATCATCAGGACTCGGATGGCCGTACAGCTTTGAGTGTTGCTGCACTCTGCGTCCCCGCCAATGAAGGCTATGCTAAGGTTCGTAATTTTTTCCAAGGCAAAAATAAATTATAATTTTATCATTTTCCTCGTGGACCTCTATTTGAAAAGGGACTATAGCCGCGAATGTTTAGGGAGACAGAACAATCCCTTTTGAGTAGTGAAAGAATTGGCTTTTGAGATTTCCTTTATCCATGACCCAAGTCGGAAATCTAGCCCTGAGGCAAAGACACTGGATTGCAAGAGACAGCAGTCGTTTTAAAACTTTTAGCACCCCTGATTTTATTAAGCCAGCTTGTAACATAGTTAATAGAGATAAGGAATAAATCTAATTGGCGTGATCTTTTGGTACGAGGTCTACATTACCATAAGGGGTATTGGAAGTCAGAACAATTTAAAAATTTAAATTAGAATTCCTCAAGGCAATTGTGATGCATTTTAATATGAAACAAAGGGGACTCCATTAAATTCCAGCTTATGTACTGAAAACGCTTTACAGCACGATGGTTTTCAATGTACAATGTACATGCATGTTCAATATCATGTTTCAATATTTGAACAAAACAATCTTTCCTTGATTACTTACTAAAATGCATCGGTTTTTTCTTTCCACCAGAATTCAATTTTTAATTTTCCTGGCTTCTACTTCTCCTCCCAGTTGTATGGTCGAGCACTACTATGACATCTCATTTAAATTGGATTACTTTCTGCAATAAGGAACCACCATTTCTGGCCCATACATGCCATTGGTTTCCCTTGGCAGATATGTGTTTTTATGAAAGAGCCAGAGATGGTGGTTCCTTATTTCAAAATGCAATCTAATTAAGCCAATATTATTTTCTTCTTCTCCTTTTTAATTAAAATGTATTTAGACTCTACTGCTTAATCACTTAATTACTTACTCACTCTACTTACAATACTCTCATCACTTAAAAATGTTGGAAAATCGCACATTTTACTGACGAAAAGGACATTTTGCCTTGAAATTGGATATTTTCCATGACCCATTTAGGTTAGGTTAGGTTGCTTCACAGCCCTAGATTTGACTTAGTTTGCGATGATTTGGCATTTTTGCAATCCTAAATTAAATAATATTTAAATCTTCTCAGCCTTATAGATGTCAACTGAAGTATTAAAATTTGACCTCGTGCATTGAGACAAAAATTGATTCTACCATTAAGTCTGATGGCAGGCTACAACTTTAAATTAATAAAAAAAAAATTACTTTTCTATAACTTTTTCTTTAGATGTTAACTTTTATTTTGTTTGAATTGTAAAATCAGGTTGTAAGCATTCTGTTGGAGAAGGGGGCAGAAGTCGACCACGAAGACAAAGACGGAATGACGCCTTTACTTGTCGCTGCATTTGAAGGACACAAGTAAGTAGCCTGTTAAGTAAGTAGAGGTAGCTTTTATTTCCAATAGTTCAACATCAGAATGTCTCTGGTGTTCCCTCAGGTTTCAAGGGTTATGTACGAAAGTGTAAAACTTTTCTTTTCACTGCATGATCGGCATTAGAAAAAAACTGGCCCATAAAGTTCAGAGTCAAGTTTCTATCGGCAAACTACCGGAAGGTTATGTGGTAAGTTACAGTATCTGTACTGTTCAAATGAGGAAGTTGCTCAGACGATTTTCATTAAAGGAACTTGAGTTGAGAAAGTTCATAAATTCTAAAATTAATACTTCAGTCCTCTCATAGCTTTTAGACCCTGTAGAGTAGTCCAAGAATTCATCCCCTTAAAAAACCCTTGTCTTTAGTATGACGTCGTTTCTAATTATGCGTCATCATTCAAAAACTTTTCACAATAATGTCATGAAAAAATTTCTACGAAATGAACCTTTTGTTGTTAACAGGGATGTGTGTGAGCTCTTATTGGAAGCGGAAGCGGATGTAGACCATTGTGACAAAGCCGGGCGCACCCCACTGTGGGCTGCTGCATCAATGGGCCATGCAGAGTGTGTTGCACTCCTGCTCTTCTGGGGCTGTTGTATTGATAGTATTGATTCAGAAGGTCGCACCGTGCTCAGTGTTGCTGCTGCGCAGGGCAATGTTGGAGTCGTTTCACAGTTGGTTGACAGAGGTTTGTGCTCATTTGTACCTAACGTTTAAATCCTTTGAAAACAGAAATCCTGCATAGTTTTTTCCAGCAATCTAACCCAATAGTTGAGGAGAGGTCTAGAATTGACTAAAACAATCAGAAAGGAACCAAGCCTTACTGTAGGGAGGAATGAGTGAAGAGTAGTTTTAAGCTTAATTTTTCGTACATTTTCACCTGTCAAAAATTAAAAAAAATAATCTTTTCAAATGTGAACGTAAAGGTTATTAAACTCAATTTTTAACTTTGAGCCTAATCAAGGATTAAAGCTTCAAACCTTGTTCTCTCAATCATAACGTCATATCCGATGATTCCCATCTTCTAAACTTTGCTCATCACGGCCAAAAATCATTCTATGCATCTATACCTCTCTTCTATAGTGAAGAACCAATGTCAACAGGAGAGAACAGAAATGAAGTCACCGCAAGAACCTGCGTAATGTTGCGAGGTTTGTGAATGGCATGGGTTCAAGTGTGACGCAAGGCTGTGGACTAATGAGCCTATATGGGTAACCTCATCTCTACACACTAACAGTCATAATTCCTGCGCACATGAGGATTATAAGTTTTCTGTGCCTATGCACTTTGCCGATTCCCCTTTTCCAGACTGATGTAAGAGTTCTCTTATGTACGATAACCCTGTGAAGAACCCTCACACTCCCCTTTGATTTCCTGGAATCATGTTTATAACTATTTCTTTGTTTTAAACATTTTTTGTAAATAAAATGAATATTCTTCAGGCTTGGATGAGCAGCACCGAGACAACTCAGGCTGGACGCCTCTTCACTACGCTGCCTTTGAAGGACATACTGAAGTATGCCGTGTGTTGTTGGAGGCTGGTGCGAAAGTGGATCAGACGGATAATGATGGGAAGGCCCCACTCATGCTTGCTGCACAGGAAGGCCATGTCAGTTTGGTGAAGGAACTCTTGACGGACCATGGTGCTCCGCCCGATCAAAAAGCACTTGATGGGAGGTCTGCCTTGAGGTAATATTTTTAACTGCAAAAATATTGCAGGGAAAAAATGTGGTTTTTCTCAAAATTTCTTGAAAAATAAAAAATGAATTAATACATTTGTAATTGTTAACAGGAACAGTTATCCTAGTATCAAAAACTCATTTTAAAAATAAATTGCTCCTTTGGAACTTTAAAGAGTGTACAACAAGCATTTTGATGTAAATTGACAGTGAAGATACCAGACCTTGTATCTTGGTTTGCGACATTGCAGACTTCTTGTCACACTTTAATTTTTAAATGGAAAACTACTCAACGTCAACTCTCGAAAATTTCTGTGATTTTTCTTCTCTATGGGAAGAAAACTCAGTGAAAACTTCAAGGGCTGGTATTGATTTGTTCTCCTACAAAAGAATAAAATGAGAGCAGAGATCATCACAAACGAGATATGTGATCTGGTAGTTTCACCAACGAAATGCTCCTAAATTGTCAAATCAAACTGTGGTTTTGATGGTTTCAGATTAGTATCAAGGATGGTGATTTCAGGGAAACAATTAATTTTAGAGAATCAAATTTGATTTTTTCCAAAAACTTCAGTGTGATTTAATAACTGCTGACAAATAAATTGATTTTCCCAAGTAATGGTCTCTATCAATTTTTGGGATGAGAAGGATGAATAATTTCCAAGATTAAGTCATTGCTGTCGACGCTCTCAAAATTTGGACCAAAACTTAACAGACTCAACCTTACAAAAACACACCTTTCTGAAAAAATTTCTCAGTGTTTTAAAGGTCCCTAATCCTATGATGCAGCACGTTTGCACAATATTTAAGTTGAGTTATATTTGATAAAGTCAAATTTTAGCTCTTTAACTTTTCATTTAAATTATTTTTCAGTCAAATGTTATCGCTAGACCCAGGGAGCTTATGAGATTACTTGTTCTCATGTTTTCAGGTTGGCAGCACTGGAGGACCATATTGATGTGGTGCGAATTTTGCTAGCTGAGGGTGCAGATATTAATGCCAAAGATGCTGACAGCCGTAGCACATTGTATATTCTTGCCTTGGAAAATCGGTTACCCGTTGCTCGATTTTTCATTGATCCTGGAGGAGCAGATGTGGAAAGCACCGACTCTGAGGTGAATATTTGATCGGGAAACATGTAGATCATTTTAAAATTAATGATTGCTCAATGAAGAAATACTTTTGACATAGTGTTCTCACTTCGCTCCAAAATCGTAGGAGCTATTTTTTTGACCAGACAGATCCTTAGGAGTCGCCTACAATTATCAGAAGCTATGAAGATTTTTTAAACTGAAGCAAAAGAATTTTTCAAAGGGTGGAGTGGGATAAAATTCAGAACCGCATCAACTTTTTAGGTGCTAGTTTTAGCCAGCATATTTTTCTAATGGTGCTCTCCCCTACTCAGTTTACAAACTCACAGCTTGATGTATATCTTTTGCTGTATAATATTCAAGCCACCCTCCTAATTTATTATGCCTTTTAGCTTAGTATTTTACTTTGCATTCCATTAGATGAATTTAATAAAGAAAATGAAATAATTTTCACTTTTCAATTCCAGGGCCGCACAGCATTGCATGTGAGCAGTTGGCAAGGGCATGCTGAGATGGTGATTCTGCTGCTCACACTGGGAAAAGCCAATGTCAATGCAGTAGACAATGAAAATCGAACATCGTTACACTCAGCTGCATGGCAGGGTCACTCTAGTATTGTCAAGATCTTGTTGGAACATGGTGCCATCCCAGACTTTACATGTAACCAAGGGGCCACTGCTTTAGGTTAGCAGTTTTCCTCCACATATTTCCTTTCAAATTAAAAAATTCAGATTTAAGCAGGAAAGCCCTGAAAGTATTGTGGAAAATACAGGACCTCTGAGGAGTCCTTGGTCTTTATGGATAAAACCTGAGGGTAAATTACCAAAAGGGTCAAACACTCTTGATTCTCAGCTCAAGAAATCTGTGATGTCTCAAAGGAAAATTGGTGACAGATGATGGTTCATAAGGCGTTTTTTCTCAACGAGGTGACATAGCTTTCATCCGTAAACTACAAATCCTTCCTCGTTGCGAAATACACTCAAACATAGTGCGGCCACCGCGGAACGCGTATTAGCACCTATAAGACTGCCGGGATACTTCATGCATTGCGCGTTCTCTGATCGCTGTGATACACATACACGGGTGTGTACGCGCAATGCGTGAAGTATCCATGCAGTCTTGCAGGCGCTGATAAGTTTATCGCTCCGGCCGCACCGAGATCGGTGTTAATATTCTAACTCGCGGAGTCAGCGTTCTTCTACTCATGGTTTCGAAATGTTTGCACCGTTGATTGTCATTTAAAATGATAAAAAAAAAAAATCATGTATTAAAGGAAAATACACAGTATTTTGCAAATATGAAGGTGGTTCCGTGCCAAAAATGGTTATCCAAAAACTAAACCCCTTTAAATTCAGTTTTTCAGGTTAAATCATTTTTTTGGATGAAAATGCTTTTATTGCATTTAAGAATATATCTAGGTTCATTCAGATCAACCATTAACTGAACCTCTCTTTCAAAGTCAAATTGGTTCTCTCCTGTTGAATGCAATCCTACCGTGACCACACACAGAGGGAGTTTAGTGGAGTCAGGGGGAGAAAGTTTTTGGATAAACTGTTCGTGGCTTAGTGGAACAGGTGAAAGAAGTTTTTGGACGAACTGTTTATCGCACAGCGGGTCAGGGGAAGGAAATCTGTAATGTGCTAGAAATATAGTGACTTTTCAGCACTTTTCACAAGATTTTCTCCATTAATCTTTGTTCAGAGATATTGAATAGGTGAAATTACTTTCCGGATGACCCTCATATTTCTTTTAATGAAAAAAAACCAAGATTATGTAATTCAGGATACATTCTGATCATCTACGATCGTACTTTTTCTCACAGTCTTGACGAAAAATGTCACTGAAATTTTTATTTCTTTACAGGAATTGCGGCTCAGGAGGGCCACGAAGCATGTGTTCGATTATTGTTAATGCATGGAGCTAACCCTCTTCACTCAGATCATTGTGGAAGAAATGCAATGAGAGTTGCAGCAAAAAGTGGGCATGAGACTGTCCTGAAGCTACTCGAACAATTTTCTCAGTCACAGCACCGCAATAGCAGTGAGTATACATACTATTAAATATGCTATACTTGAAAGGGCTTTTTTGAAAATTCAGGCCACTCCTGAAACATCAAGAAAGTTGAACTAAGAATGAAAACATTTTGCAAAGAAAATCATCCTTCTATCTACAAATTGTCGCTCCTCTGAACAGGCGTATCTCTATTTTGACTCCAATCTGGAAAATATGGAGTCACACAAATGGAAGAACTCATCTTTAAAAGCAATTATACCATTACGATAGAAGAAAGATGAAATGTGTTGTTTCCAGGCAAGAATTCATATGAAATTCCGTACACCCAGCTGAGAAACATTGTAAAACAGATGTTTGATTAAGTTTATCTTTAGTCTGATTTTTAATGTCTCGCCAGTCAATTACTCTCTGGTGTTAGATTTCTCTGTTTTGTTCATTTCTAACTTCTGTTTAATTTATTATTGTTAATGAAGGTAATGGTGGCAATGGAAATAGCAGCGGATCTGGGTCGACAGCTGAAACAAAACCATCATCAGCCATACTGGTGCCCGGTGGCAACCCAGTCAGCGGGGAATCCCCCATTGAGTCACCTGAGTCAACCGCCAAAAGGAGATCTCTCGTGTCGAGTCGAAGCAAATCCAGCTCGAATCTTACCAATAGCACAAAAAGCTCACATCAAGAAACCATTCAGTCCCAGGTTCGCTTTCTTTTCTTTCCTGTGTCTTGATTATTGGAATTGATAGATTAAGCGATAGACAAAGGAGACAAAGGGAAAATGGAGACCCGTTTCATCCTATTGTTTGAAACGGGTGGTTGCTATAGACTAAAAGAGAAAATGATCGATCAACTATAGAGTCTCAAGGATTGCTGTCAGTCAGCCTGCTACTTACCTCCTGTGTCCAATTTCTCCATTTTCTGTTTGTCTTCTTTGTCCATCATTTTGTCCAACAATTTCAAAAATCAGTCCACTTTTCCACGTTTGATCCAATGAAGTCGTATTTTGTATTGACATCTTACCTGTTATTCCAATTTTAGTGACTGCTACCAAATTATTGTGCTGAGACCATGTATTTTTTTTTTTTTTTCATGTTTTAGTCCACTTCATGTTTTGGGGGGCCATTTATTGGAAGTTACCAGCACTTTTAATCTTGAGGAAATGTTCGGTTTGTTGAAATGAAAGTCCCTTGAAAAAATTCATGAGCGATCGCTGCTACAAAGCAAAGGATTAGGAAGTTTATTGCTACGGTTAGAATGTAAAGTTTTCATAACTATAGCTGAGAATATTAATCGGCTTTATCAGTGCTCATGGTGACAAAAGTTCTTGTTATCTAATACGTTTTGGTATTCGTGTAAGTAAGCATTGAACCTGCCACCAAAATGGATATGATTAATGATAAGCAGTTGATGATGGTAGCCCAGGAGCACCCAGAATATCTGATCTGAAAAGCCTCTGTGCATGTAAGAAGTCCTAAAGGTTAATTTCATCTCTCTGTCATTCTCTTCGCTTAGGAAGAAAGGCTCCGAAAATATTTGAATTTGTTCAAGTTTTTTTTTTTGCCTCAAAATGTCCTGCTTATAATCTATGTTCACATTGCAGGCTCCTCTCTCCTTTACGCAACAGCTGCAGCAGTGTTCAAGAGGGAAGGCAAGGTCCTCCTCAAAAATTCTTTCTCCGCAATCGCCCATTTATGCAACTCCACCCCACAGCCCAGACGAACCACCTCCAACGGCTTTTGTGTCTACTGACGAGCACTTCTCTCGAGATACCCACATGAAAATCATTTTGGGTAATAAAAAACCCTCTCGCAAGTCCCCAGCCGAGAAGAAAAGCCATGCAGAAAAAAAACGCAATGGCATTGTCACGAATCCTGCACTGAGACTTGTTCCTGCAATCCGAAGCGGTTTAGAGATTGCAGCCGGTAGACGCAGCTTCTCCCAGTCAGCGCACACTGCTACCAACAGTTTTCAATGGAGAAAGGAAACTCCCCTCTAAGGGCTTTTAATGCTATGACTGTGCAATTTTCACCTTTTTTGTTGTCTGCAGTATTGTGGGACAGTTATAAGTCATGCTGAGATTACCTGAACCATCCCAGTAGAATTGTTTTATTTATTATGTAAGTCTGCATCTGTTATCCTCTTTTTAAAAAAGAGGTAGGGGCCAAAATGGTGAAGAACCCTAATACCTGTAGGAATATGATCTGTAAATTTGTATCAAGGTTTTTAGTGCTTAGTATGTGTTTCAATCAGTCAATAATTTCAGTCCTTGTAAAGTTCCTCTAAAGTTGCCGACTAATGGAAATTTCTAAAAAATCAAAAGTTTGACCAAGAGAATGGAAGAAATGTTGAGTTTGGATTCCAGGTATTAATTATCTGTACTTTTAAAATTTTAGGAATCTATAATTTTCAGTAGTGTGTAGATGACCCTGTGAATTAGAACAATCTAGTCAGTATTGTTTAGTTTTCGCAGCAAAGAGTGCTGATAAATTGTTTCAAAGTTGTGCAACCATTGTACTTGTAATTCTGTTTCGATGTTAACTGAACTTTGACGGAAGACATTTGGGAAGGTCCTCTTCTATTACGTAGGTTTGTAAATCTGTCTGTGTAGTTGCCGTAGCACCTAGTGTCAAAAGCTTTTTGTACATTTTTTAGTCAATTGGTGTAACTAAATTGTAATTTAGTCTGTGAATTTTACTCATAGCTGTGTCAATTACCACTCCGTCTGTTATTTAAGATATTTATTATTGTAGTTGCCTGTGCTTTTTAGCATGCCTGCAGGGTTAGCTATCTGCTAAGTCTGCTTTCTGCTGAGGAGATGAGGAACTTTTTCTATCAGGAAGAATGTCTGTAAGTGAGTTATGAGCGAGTGGTAGTGAGTATTTAAGATCTTGCGCAAAAAGCATCAGTTGTGGTAGTTTTGTTGGCTGTGCAAGTTAGTGCCACTTAAGAGGTTGATAATCTCCCCAATTATACAACTAATGGGAACCCAAAGTTTTTTAGCAATCGAAATACTCTGGGGATTTTTTTTTTTTTTTTTTTTTTAAAAAAAAAATATTTATCAAATTTTTCGAACACTTTGCATTACCTTCAAAACTAGCTCCCTATAACTCGCCATACTCCTCTTTGTTTTATTGTTCCGATCAAATAATTTCAGGGTCGAAAATAGAATATAAGTTCTCTCTAAAGCAATGATCTTGTAATACTTAATATTAAGGGGGCTATTTTACAAAGAAATAATTCTTTTTGCAACAGTATCAGCTGTTCCAAAATAGTAAATATATGAATAAATAAAAAAAAAATTTAAAAAATCTGAGATGATATCCATAGACAAGCAAATTTCTTTCAACATTTGGGTAGTTTCTACCTTATAAAATCATTCCGTTCTTTTTTACATTGAATACATATTGATGGTAGTTTCATGTGAATGATACAATTAAATTTAGTATATTTTTTTCTCCTGAAGAATTAAAACTGCATCCTCTCCTGTTTAATAAGGTAAAATCTTTAGTTTTCAACCTGGGTTTTAACTTTGTCAGATGTTCCTGTTATATCATTCTAATTCTAAATGAATCTCACATTCTATTTTGATTTGGAAGTATTAATTTTTGCATTTATTTTTTGTAGGTGAATCTGATGAGCTGTAAAATTTAATTATTCCTTGAGGTTTACACTAAATACTTATTTTAGTCCCCATACATGTTTATTCTCCGTTCAAACTTTGACAGGTCTGCTGCCTGTCAAAATGCACTTGGAGAACTAACAGGTGAGAGGAAGTTCTGAGTTCTAAAATAAGTTTTCAGTGCAAATTTAGAAAACATCTCCTGTTTTAAAATTTTAGCCTTTTTGGGGTTTTTTCCTCAAGGTATTAAACATACCCTGCCACATTTACACAGCATGTAATTTCAAGAAATGAATCCTCTTATTCATTTCAAAAACATTCCACTAACAAATATCAAAAATCGATATTTAGGTTTCCACTTCAGACACTATTTTAAACTGAATCTTTTGCTCCGACTCAGTTCCCAGTTTATTCACTTCTAAAGTTGGGGGTAAAACAGTCGTCAATCGTTTTTTTACATTTGAACAAAAATAATAAGTTTTTGGCCTTTCTACAGAGCTAGATATTTAAAATTTTGGAAAATTTGAGGAATTTCTTGAAAAGATCAAATTTTTCTCTGTCTTTGTGTTTTTACCACAGTCAGAATGAATAGTTTTAACTTGATTTTTGAGAAGGAAAATTGAGAGAACTGAGAAGATTAAGGTCAATTTTTAAATTAATGGCAGCTGCATATTGCTCTTGTTTAAGCATGTCAACATGTAGATTGTTGAATAAGGAAGTTTTGAATTTTTGTTTTCCTAAAATGTGTGGACGCTCCATATTGATAAAGACTTTATAGTAACATAAGTATCTAGTGAAATTGATAAGTAAATATTAAATTAAATTTTTCTGCCGTCTGAAAAATACATTTTATAATGTGCAATTACAAGCAATTTTTTAAGGTGAGGGTTAGGTTCCTAGAACTGTTTAGAATGAGTTGAAACTAAGAAAAATCATTTGACTTAATCCCTTTTTTTGCCATTTATAGTTGTTTTTCAGTTCACCTCCAAATTAGAGACTGCTATCTTTGACCCTTTTTTCATGAGTAAATGAGAGTTGAATGTCTTGCTTCAGAAGCTACCCAACTCAATACAAATGGAAAACTTTATTTTATTGCGGAAAAATGGTTTTTAGGGTCACTGGCATTTTCTTATTTTTATATTTTTTTCATTAAAGTATTGCAATTCTGCTTATTCTGATAAGTGCCCTATTCTGAAGTTTTGGTACGTTCATATTCCACCATTAAGTGACTTGAAAGTTTCTTGTTCTTGGCTGCGGAATTCTTCTTTGGAACTGAGTAATACATCCAAAAATAGTTTTTGTTTACTAATGATTTTCAGCTGAATCCAATTTTTTACATTTATGGAATCTTTTTTTTTTCTGAAGCAGGACAATTTTGAAACAAGTGATTCGATTTAGTTCACCAGAAGAGAGCTTGTGAAGTTTTTGAGTTGTAAAATCTTCCTTGTAAGTAACTTTATCTGACATATTTTAATGAGCCTCACTAAGCGAAGGGTTTAAGACGTTTCAGCAATGATATTGTTCCATCTGTTAATCTCAAGGTAGTTTTCACCAAATATGTTTTAATTATGTACGTAAAAGAAGTCTGTTTTTTATTAGATATCAGCATTTCTTTTTAGAAAGAGAGAAGATGTTCCCAGTGAATTTTCTTCCCGCTGTTAAGAATATGATCCGTTTTATGCAGAATTGAACGAATATTGAATGTAATTGCCTGAAGTCTTTCTGTGTCTCTGCTCTTCGTTTTCTGATGTGTACGCACATTAAAATGTGGGTTAGAATAGGCAAAAAATAGAGACTGAATATCCTAGACCTGTCCTGTCACTGGGTCGATTTCATGATTTTCTCTCATTCCCAATCTTTTTTTCCATTGGGTCCTGTCACTGAATTTTTCAAAGAGAATTGGACAGTCCAGTTTAAAAACATTGTGGTTTGATTATATAGGGTCTTTACATTCTTCTCTACGCTAATTAATAGACTGCTGTTGTTGAACAAAATATTCTTAAGTCTGCTCAGTTGGATAAAAAGTGTCTATAACTTTGTTAAAATTAAAAATTTTAAAATGTTTCTCTATTAGTCTCACTTGTTAAACATGTAAAAATCTACTAATCCGTATAGTTATCAAAGCATTGGGTTAGTTTAGAAGTTTTTGTTTTATTAGCGTATTTCAGCCTATTGCAACAATGTTTCAGAAATACTCCTCAGCTTTTACAGCACCATTAATTTGTATATTTAATTATGTAATAGCACATCTCTCTTAGGCTTTTGCTTTGAACTAAGTCAATGAATCTCATTACGAACTGCGATAAAGACAAAACGATATCTCTTTTTAACAAATCTCATTCTCTCTTGCTTTAAAAAGATTCTAATTCTTATTTCTTCTCTCTTCTTTTTATGTTGCTGTTTCTATTTTGTATATTCACCATGAACTGTTTTTCGTCTGTGGTTTTTGATCGTCACAAACAATCATGGTTAGATTGTAACATAAGTATGTGTGTGAATGTGTAGCCTTGTCTCTAAATTGATTTATTTTAATCTTCGTTTGAATCACATTAGATCCAGCTCCCTACCTACCCTTGTTTAGTTTTCCTATTTAAAAATCAACTTCTTGTTCTGATGGTTGAATTAAGAAGGAACTGAATGTACATATGTATGCGTAACTTTTTCCTAATAGAAACACGTTTTTTCCACATTCTGGTAATTGTTTCTTTGCTACCCTCCACTTATAATCTTAGCCGGATCGCTCCATTTTTATGAAATTTTGCCCATCTTTAGAAACACAGTTAGATTGACATGCTTTCATTTAAGTAAAGAAACAGACAATCTTCATTTGTTGAGGTCGTAACTTTCATTGGACTAATTTAAAAGTAGGTATCTAGTATAAATTGGAAAATGCTGATTGAACCAAAAAAATCAAATTACTGTAGTTACTCATCAATGTTTCCTCTTATCCAGGCAGTCATAGCGATCACAATTTTCAGTGTCTCTAAATTCGGATCCATGAACAAGCCTTGCTTCAAATCTGTCAATTAAGTATTAATCTTAATCTTAATATATAAAATGAGAAGGGCTGGAAATTTAACCATACCTATGAGTCCGTGGTTTGTCGCAACAGGTATCCGTGCTGTTCTCTCCAGCTCTACCTTTATATTGAAGTCAAGCTGTTTTTTTCCTCGATATTCGCCGATTCGCTTCCGAGATATTACTCCCTTGGGAAGACGCCGATTTCTTTACGGTGTTGCCGTTCTGCGCCTTTTTTTAGACTCTGTTATTTTTTTATCAGTGAATTCCCTATTCCAGTTCATTATACCTACTCGGCAACCTAACTCGTTTAAAATCCGAATTCATTGTTTGGCAATCTCTTAGCTGATGTGTACTTACAGCCCCCTAAATTGTTTGATTGCCCCAGGTCATTATTTTATATCATTTAGCTGATACTATCATTCTTGGTATCACCGTTCATCTGAAGGCCTTATTGCTCGACAATAAAATTCCCATCCAAGAGTCGACAGTCTTCAGTCCTAAAATCGTTACCTCGCATTATTTTCAAACGAATGAATTAATACTTGAGTAAATAAAATAATAAAGTTTTGAAAATTCGATTTTTACGTCAAAAAATAGTACCCTTTGGCACCAAAATTCTCCAAAATCGATAAAACAGAAGTCGAGATACCTAGAATTTTAGGCCACCATTCACTATCTCGGATTATCAAATTTTCAAAATTTTAATTATAATTAAGTAATTGCCTTTCAATAAATGCCACCTGCTATCAAGTTTCAAAAAAATTGATCGTACAGACTCAATCAATAGGACTTTACATAGTACCCAGTGGCAAACGATACCTGTCAATTTACATAAGGCAGTGCGCCTTTATTTTCGTATGATACTGTGCAATACTTCTGTGGTGGAATAGTTGCTCAGTGCGCCTTCCACAGTATTCCTCCGACTTCATGGCAAACCGCAAAAGATGACGATCGCCGTTAAAATTACACCCAGCAATGGCGCAGTTACACATTTTCTCATCATCGAGGGTGGGGTAAAAAACGTTCACAACTCAATTTGCGACGTTGCAAGTTTTCCCTTGCCTATTTCATGCGAGTAAACCAATGTAAATACTCTCAAACCTGCCGTGTGTGTTTTTTCCGAGACAAGATAAAATATTATCTCAATACTTCATTCAAGTCCATTTGTATATTCGTTCGCTAAACAGAAAAAAAGATGTATGAGCAGGAATCTTTGAACGAGTAAACATGGCTCCGAAATTTATAGCTCTCGAAGTAAACTGGCCCGAGGAGTTGAAAAAGCGCGCCAAAGCAGACTGACAGCATTACAATCAATGTTACTGTCAACTGGACCGCGTTAAACAGAAAGGAACCAAGCCACATCAGCTATTGCCAAATTTAACAGGGGAATTAGATTTTTTACGAGAGAACGTGTGTGCGGATTCCTTCAAAAATTTTAAGGAATTGACTTTATATTATGGAGAAAATTCATAGAAATTTGCACAAAAATCCGCACAACCGTTTTCACGTAAAAAATTAAATTGCCCGAATAAATTTGGCAATAGCTGTTGTGGCTTGGTTCCTTTCGGTTTAACGCGGTCCCACTAGCTTTTGCACTTTTGCGTCTATGATGTAAAGATTATGAACTTTGATTACATTAAAATGATAATGAAAATAAGGCTAAAAAATAAGGAATGTACACTTGAATAAAGAAGAAAATCGCTAAAAATTGAAAAACTCAAACTTTCCTTACTGAATTACCTATTTGTATGGACGATGTTTCGGAGGGTCCACTGCCCACCCTCCTCAGCGGCAATAGTGCGTCTGCTGCGAGCATTGTTTCGTCCGAGGACGTTTTTAAGTACCAATTTGGACCGAGTTGTTATCAGGTGTATTCCTCTGTGTTGCAGTTTTGTCATAACTGTTCATGTCGATTTTATCAACGAGATCCCCATATCAACCCCTCCTACTGAACATTGTTGGTTGCTTGAGGTTCCATGTACCCCTTCATTATCAAATAGGGATACCCCTTCATTATCAAAGTTTTCTACAATTCATTTACCTTTAAGTACCTGAAAAATAGGTCTAGGGCTTTTTTCCAGGTAAATTCCTAACCTTGTATAACTTATCTGTATTTCTTACGAGAAATCCTCTAGCATGGTGTCTTTCTAATTCATCTCGAAAGTCTCTTGGAAACCCTTTTAGGTATTCCTAGACGAGGAATGTCGTGGGTTTTTATTCCCTCTAAACTTGGGACACCGCATGAACTCTGCAGAATTCCCTCTGTGAAAAGCTCCTCAGAACGGCGCGGCGTTCTTTCTATCCTCTCGTTTAAGTCTCGTTTAAGGCTTTTTATTTTCACACGAGAAATACGTTTTAAATTTTTGTCCTGCTACATTTAGAGCACCCAATAAACTTGGTAACGTTTCCCTAGAGAAATTCTTCGGTTAGGTGTTCGTTCTATCCTTTCGTTAAAGTCTCCTGAGATCCCTGCCAGCAGCACCAGCATGATGACACCATCATTTGTGTAGACACTAATACTAGAGTAGGTACCTCTTCCGAGAAAGGATTGGTAAGTTGCGCTAGTCTTAGTATCGTATTTTGATGCTTCTAGTTTAAAGAGTAGCAAACATTTATAAAAATAATCTGCCCAACGCAAAATATCTACGTCCAGTATCGCACCGGCGCGGCGATATCGTCCCGTGAAAAACACGGCGTATGGAGGTCAAATTGGACAATTTTTGTTGAATTTCCTGGATTCGAAATCTATTCGAATACTATTTTCGCTAAAATCTAAACAATTTAAAAAAAAATAAAAAAAAAAAATAATAAAAAATAATCAAATAAATAAATAAAATAACATTGAATTATACGAGGCCAGGTAAAAAAATATGATGACATCCTGACTACATTCCTATTAATTTTTGATCATTTGTTTTTTCTTATAGCGAAAAATCGTAATTTGATACGCTATTTAACGTCAAAAAGTCGCTCTTTAATTTTTCCTCTCACCAAGTTAAGAAGACTCGAAGATATCCCAAACATGGTAAAAGAAAAAGGAATATCCACTCATCTGATTGGCTGTGGACAAAAACAGGAGAGGGAGCCTTTGGTTAACGAACACTAGAACTTTGGTCCGAACCAGTCGAAGCATTTGTTGGTCGCAGCGCCTTGCTTTGATGCAACTATTCGTGTCTGACGACTACGCGTATTGCATATTCAAAACAATGCGGGCGCTTGGTTTTTTCCTGCGCTCTTATACTAGCAACGCGCACCGTTGAGAGGATGTTTTACTGGGAAAAGACGTTCTGCGGCCACACAACTCGCATCGAAAGCCTACATCACGTGGCAATTTGATCTTTAAACTTTATTTCTTTACTCAGCAGACTGTTTGTGCCCTTAAATTTCAAAATTCCCGGATCAGAATATTTAGTCAACTGACGACGTAAATGGTCGGTCGCTAGTCATAGAATCGCGTTTTGATGCAGATTTAGATGCAGATGCTTAGATTAGCAAAAAATCATGAGATCCGTCCAAACTCTGGGAAAAAAAACACATTGGATCTAGAGTCCAGACTCTCGAAAACATTGACAAGAAAAAATACTCTTGATTCAATCAGACTTTAGCTTAAATCAAAAGGAAATCTGCTCAAATTAAGAGGCTTGGTTCTTGATTTAAGCAAAAATCCGATTGAATCAAGAGTATTTTTTCTTGCCGACGTTTTTAAGAGTCTGGACTCTAGATCCAATGTGTTTTTTTCCAGTGAATGTCTAGTTTCTACGTCCATTTGTATTTTCCCTCGATTACTAACGTGTATGATGACGTCATCCATCGTGTCAGTACCCATACATACATCATGGTTTCTTCCACCTTGGAATCATTAATAAGTGATATACATGGCTGCAATGGTTGTTTGACTTAAAATCACTGATGAAATCAAGTTGAAAGAAACCATGGTATGCACCACCGCGGTGGCCAGATTCTTTACCCAATTTTGTTTGGTCCAAATTAATTGTGGTCCATTTACAAGTTTGTCCAATTGTTTTCTTGTGCAATTGCAATAACATATGTTATTTGAACCAATAGTTTACTTAGTACTTGGTAATTACTTGAAATGAGTTTACTTAGTCCAGTTACAAGCAACAACATAGGTGCTGAGATTTTGCCAAATGATGAAATTTAACCCTCAGATGCCCAGACCGGCTCAAACTGACCCAAAGATCGCTGAAAACACGTGCCCCGCAGGTTTCATGGGGCCGGTGCATCCGAGCTTGAGATGTAAGTCTACAAACACAATTTGAAAAAAGAATAAGATATCTAATGAAAAAAAAGCACATAAATATCAACACAGCCGAAGATAGGAGATACAATTTGGGTTTGGTTTTTTTTTAAAACTTTTCTCCCGAACCAGAGTGACAGTTCATTGGCAGTCTAGAGCGCAGCATCGCGAGCTCACACCTCACGCCCGAGCGCCTTCAATTTTGCAGATACAACACGGACATCCATCAAGTACGAATAGTCGTATCCCTGCGCCGTCATCAAAGCGCGACCTTCACCTTGCATTTCCACGTTGTGTTGGTTCCGTCTTTCTTATTTGTAGTAGTGTTTCAAGGGCTACGTTAGCAAAACAGCCGAAGATAGGAGAGATGTGATCGGGCCTTTTTCTTACATTTTCTCCCGAATCCAAGC